TAAAATGATATTATAGATGAAACTGCCTAACGACCATTTGCACTCAAATCTATCGTTGAAGAGAGCAGCTCGTCCAGCATATTATATTTGTCTATGATGTACTTATAGCCAGACCGCCCCCGTGGTCTAGTGGTAGAGCGTCCGCCCGGAGAGCGGAAGGTCAGGAGTTCGATCCTCGGCCGCGTCATACCAAAAGACGTTAAAAGATGGTACTTGTTGTTACCCTGTCTGGCGCTCGGCATTAAGGGGCTAAAACAAGGACCGGTCGGCCTCGGAGTCCGTATACTGTGTCTGAGTGGGGTATTCGTGTTAAACTACGGCATGGTATCTCAGTGAGCTAGCACTATAAATCGGCATTAGTCTAGTACAAGCAGCCACACACACACGTGCATGCACGTCGCTATATAAATGCAATAATCTTGGGCTCGACGTTAAACCCCATTTCACCACTTATACATGTTTATTCAGGGTCCAGTGAAGTGGACGTCCTACCCAGTGTCGGCTAACGTTTCCCAGGTGCCAATTCCACCCATGTTCCAGCTCCTCACAGACAACGTGCTTCTGATGCACCTGTGTGCCAAGTCCAAATACCCTCCGGAGCAGGTGCGTGGGTCGCGAGACAGGTGCTAGTGTTGTGATTCAGAGGTGCGTGTGTTGAGAGACAGGTGCGTGGGTTGTGAGTTGAACGTGTTTGGGTTGTAAGACAGGGGCGTGTGCTGTGAGTCAGAGGTGCGTGGATTGTGAGACAGAGGTGTGTGGGCTGTGATTGGTAAAGTTTTCTGATTTTACGCCACTTTTATCAATATTTCAGCAATATCCAGCGGGGCTTCACGCATTGTATCCATAAATCGAACCCGACTTTCGGAGTTGCTTGTGAACGATTTAACCACTAGGCTGCCTCACAGCCCCTCAGCAGCCTTGATGACACGCACCACCAGACGCACCTTATTGCGTTGTACTTTGAGCACATGCAAGCACCTCAGCCTGATGCTCGTGTTTAGACTTGCTAGACATGGATTCTTGATGAATTTAAAGGAGGCAAATTGCAATTTTTCTATCCTGTGAATACATGCGAAAGTCAAGAACGATAACCCAATAGACGTGGTGGTTAGGACAAGTATCTATGAATCATCCTCTTTATGTTATCCTTTCTATGTTGTGACAGGTAACTGGTCTACGCTTCATCAACATCACATCGGGGCAGATTCTCGTTGTCTGGTCTGATGACAACATCAAGACCAAGTAAGTAACTCTTGTTGTGTAGGGGTTCTGGCACAATGGTTTAGTGGTGTAACGGTTCTGGCACAATGGTCTGGTGGTGTAGCGGTTCTGGCACAATGGTTTAGTGGTGTAACGGTTCTGGCACAATGGTCTGGTGGTGTAGCGGTTCTGCACAATGGTCTGGTGGTGCAACGGTTCTGGCACAATGGTCTAGTGCTGTAGCGGTTCTGGCACAATGGTCTAGTGCTGTAGCGGTTCTGGCACAATGGTCCAGTGCTGTAGCGGTTCTGGCACAATGGTCTGGTGGTGCAACGGTTCTGGCACAATGGTCTAGTGCTGTAGCGGTTCTGGCACAATGGTCTAGTGCTGTAGCGGTTCTGGCACAATCGCCCAGTGATGTAGCGGTTCTGGCACAATGGTCTGGTGGTGTAGCGGTTCTGGCACAATGGTCTAGTGCTGTAGCGGTTCTGGCACAATGGTCTAGTGCTGTAGCGGTTCTGGCACAATGGTCTAGTGCTGTAGCGGTTCTGGCACAATGGTCCAGTGCTGTAGCGGTTCTGGTGCAATGGTCTGGTGGTGCAACGGTTCTGGCACAATGGTCTAGTGCTGTAGCGGTTCTGGCACAATGGTCTAGTGCTGTAGCGGTTCTGGCACAATCGTCCAGTGATGTAGCGGTTCTGGCACAATGGTCTGGTGGTGTAGCGGTTCTTGCACAATGGTCTAATGCTGTAGCGGTTCTGGCACAATGGTCTGGTGGTGCAAGGGTTCTGGCACAATGGTCTGGTGCTGTAGTGGTTCTGGCACAATGGTCTAGTGCTGTAGCGGTTCTGGCACAATGGTCTGGTGCTGTAGCGGTTCTGGCACAATGGTCTGGTGGTGTAGCGGTTCTGCACAATGGTCTAATGCTGTAGCGGTTCTGGCACAATGGTCTGGTGTTGTAGCGGTTCTGGCACAATGGTCCAGTGCTGTAGCGGTTCTGGCACAATGGTCTAGTGCTGTAGCGGTTCTGGCACAATGGTCCAGTGCTGTAGCGGTTCTGGCACAATGGTCTGGTGGTGTAGCGGTTCCGGCACAATGGTCCAGTGCTGTAGCGATTCTGGCACAACGGTCTGGTGCTGTGGCGGTTCTGGCACAATGGTCCAGTGCTGTAGCGGTTCTGGCACAATGGTCCAGTGCTGTAGCGGTTCTGGCACAATGGTCTAGTGGTGCAACGGTTCTCGTACAATGGTCTAGTGATGCAGGGGTTCTGCACAATGGTCTTGTGGCGCAGGGGTTCTGGCACAATAGTCTAGTTCCATTTGAACTTTCATTTTCATGATCTCTGGTCGGATGTAAGGTAGTTCTGACATGACCTGTAATGGGATGTTCTCAAACCTTCGTAAATCGCTAGTAAGGACCAAGGTATGATGCTGATGAGACTGGTTCATGATAAACTGGTGTAGATTCAGAGGAAACATTCATATCAAGTCTGATCAGCTCTTCATCAGAACATCTATCACAGATGCCCGCTCTGTTTATATGTTCCTTCCTTCAACAGATGTATATTCACGTACGTCGTGGAGTACTCTGCTGACGGATCAGAAGCTGGGTTTAAGAGGGTCAACGAGGAAGACACCATCGTCACGGCGGTCGTCATTGCTCCACAACCTAATCCTGCCACGGGTAGGTTCAAGATGCGTCCGGAATTTCGAAATACTGGTAGACACCTGGGAAACATTAATTGTAAACCTTTCTTGTAATGTTAAATCCTACCAGCACAAGTGTATCATGTTACGAGTGAGTGAGTGAGTGAGTGAGTGAGTGTTGTTTAATATGAATATTGCGTCACCGTCTTACATGTTGTTTCCAGGCTACATCGGCGACAAGATGGTGACGGGCAGCTACAGGGTGAAGGCAGTGGACTACTTCAAGAGACCAGGGCCATACTCACAAACACAGATATACAAGTGACATCAATGCTAGATTGGGGATACAAAATGTACTGTTGTAGCATAACGAAGATAAGACCATGTAATGAAATGTGACTGTATGTTGTACGTGCACAAATAAAAGATAGCTGTGTATGTATGTTGTCCGTTTTACGCCGCACTCAGCAAACTTCCAGCTATATGACGGCGGTCTGTAAATAATCCAGTCTGGACCAGATAATCCAGTGATTGACATCGTGAGCATATATATACGTATATAGCTGGAGTATTGCGGTGCTACTACGACGGTTCATACACAGGCGAGGTGAGGTAAAATGGGGTTTAACGTCGCGCCTAAGATTATTGCACTTATATAGCGACGTGTGTGTGTGTGTGTGTGTGTGTGTGTGTGTGTGTGTGTGTGTGTGCTTGGACTGGTCCGGACTGATGCCGATTTATAATGCTAGCCCACTGAGATACCATGCCGCAGTTTAACATGAATACCCCACTCAGACACAGTATACTGACTCCAGGGTAACAACAAGTACCATCATTTAACGTCTTTTGATATGACGCGGCCTGGAATCGAACCAGATCGAACCCCGGACCTTTCGCTCTCCGGGCGGACGCTCTACCACGAGACCACGGAGACGGTCACGTTCGTACACTGTGCCAGATAGGCTGGTAGAAATGCTGCGCATTCTTCTGGTTATAAAGACACAACCTTCAGGAACAACGAATACACGAGATTCTACTCACAATGAGACGAGGTATCGGAAGGAGACTTGGGGCACTCATGGCACACTTTAGGCAGACACTGACTACTTGTAAACTGATTTGAGTGAATGTTGTCTGCCGCCGCAATCAGCAATAGTGCACCTGCCAAACTAGTGGTTGATAGCATGAGCAGCATCGTGGGGGTTCAATTCAGACGACTATACATGCAGGTCACATCGCCGTTTCCTACTATCAAACTGGAATTTATTGATTGTAAACAAAAGCATGCAATTTTTATTATTTTAATCAGAATCTCATTCCTGTGGCCACACATCGTAATCAGCGGATCCTTGTTTCAGATAAAAGCGGCTTAAAACCATACTCACTCACTCACTTGTTTCAGACGGCTCACACGACAACCAGGACGTAATGGAGAGATATCCTGCCTGTAATCTAACACACCCGCACACACCGTGGGTACACATATAGTCCTATACGAAGTCCGAGTTACGTACGAATGACATCACGAACTCTCTGATACGACAGCGGTCCTTGCATGCAGATCTCGATATACGCACTGAACGAGCGTGTATCGCCATCATTAGTAATTGTCGGGCAAAAGAAAGTATGCACTTGAAAATTGGATTCAACCAAACACTTACAAACGTTATCAAAACGTTACTAAGCTGAAAAAAATCGTCGGATTGCAAACTTAAAGTCCAAAACAGAAGTATTATTCCTGTGTCAAATACATTATCATCGAATAAACATTTGTTGTTTCATTTAAACCACCACCAGACATGAGTGTATACTTTCTATTGACCGTCAGTATAGTAACCACACGCCATATTCAAATACTAAGCAACACAAATACTTAAGCTTGATCCAAAGCACGCGAATACGACACCGTAATATTTATACACCATACTCAAATAACAGTGGAACGACCATCACGTCATCACAAATACCTGAATCTCATTTTCTGTTCGAGTTTGCAAAAAGGTTGGAAATAACACAGATGAGTGAATCCAATCTTCACTATACAAACGTTAAGGTTTCCCTTAATAAACGTCATGCGTGAATGGCTAAAACACGTCAGATTGTAGAGCCTCGCCATCAACCAGGTCAGGTCAGCTATCAGTTCAGCTGACATGATTAGCTAGATAACGGTACACGACGGACGTAACTGACCTTGTGCTGTGTGTAAACACCTGGGCCACCTGTATACGGTGTGGTCTGTTTGCTGCAGCTGTAGGTGTTACTGCAGACCATGATGCTGTGGACCATTATTTCCTTCCTACTGTCGCTGCTCGGCCAGAATTCCTGGGGACAAGGCAACTACGGCTTTACCCTCAACTCCTGGGACGTCATCGGAGATCTGAATCATTTCTGGAAAAGTACCGGGTTTTGGTGAGCTGAATTTGGTATGATTCCATAGAACTAGTTTAAGGAGAAATATTGATGTGTGTTAATGGTACCATCACCTGCCTACACTATATATATTGTTGATAGAACATCTTGAAAAGCCTACATTGCTCCCAAATCCCTGTTGTTTTACATTCTTCTACTACTTTAGGCTACATGCTCTCTAATGTGTATTTGCTGGAGCGGCCTAGTCGTCAAAGGCGTCGTGTTGCAGAATTGCGTCCCTTAGGCGAGCCAGATACCTATCATCGTGTGGTCGAATCCCGGTTCGTCAATGTGGTTATGTTTCTAGGTTTGTTAGCACCATTTCCTTGTTCGTGGATTTCATCAAAGTGGTTAACTGTGTAAGACCTGCGGCACTCGTACCTCACTTCCCAATCAAGCTGACAAGACGTGATCAACTGAAATAATGTTCAAAGCGGCTTTAAACCCAACTCACTCACTCACACATTATATGTTTCCCGTATTGAAGGCTTGTTGTCCATTTCCAGCCAAGGTCGTGTCGTTGTTGTTAGTGCTGTGTGTGACACTGAGACATGACGTTTTGAATAATAACTGTAATAGTTTCTGCTAAACTGATTGACATGTCAATGGCAAAGTTAAATTTTTATTGAAATTAGTTTAAGAAGAAATATTGATGTGAAGAGTATGACATGTTCAAATGCCTTACCATTAACATTTTTACTAACCCTTTTTAATTTCATACAGGCATATTCTGAACAATAGCTTCCTGATCAACCAGGGGAACATGGTCTCCTGTAAATGATTTAATTGACAACCCTTTAAGATGATTGTGTGTAGATTTTGACATTAAATGCATTTTCCCGTTTTGGTTTAAGCCCCCCACTGCCACATTCTGATGCCGCCAAGTTTGACCTCAGTCCCGACATGCAGCAGAATCTGGCCTACATCGGCGCCATGCCTCACAGAGGGATAGAACAGGTCCGGATACACTGGCTACTCGAGCTCATCAAGGTCACGAGGTCAGTCAGGGGGGCGCGATAAATATCTTATGCGCGGCGAAGTTATGCCACCAAATAATACTTATACTAATTCCGGTTTAAAGATCCAAGAATCTGACTCTGATATTAGGAAACTCATTGTACACTCAATGGACGTCAAAGTCACCTTGGTCGTCTTTGATTCTCTTTGCATGAGAATTAAAAAGACATGGTACTTACGAAAAGTCAGACCGAAATCGTTATGTTTGTCGCGTCGAAAGGTAACCCTCTTGTCAGTTGTGACCAATTCCAGATTTTACCTTGTAAATATCCTTTCTATATCAGTAAATACCCTTGACCAGTTCTTGACCGTATAGGATGTGTCGTCATTACCATCTCCATCCCAATCATCACTACGTCACACAGACTTCCTCGCACTCATTATCATTATTTGATTGGTCAGCTATTTATATTCATTCGAATGGAGCTTTGAAGGAAGCCATGGTGGCGAATGGACCCAGGTTATTTATCATAACAGATTTGGAGACATAATACATTGGATAATTGAAGATGGCTGTGACTGAGTGCCTTTGTCAGTCGATGGTTTGTACAGTTCAAATAGGGGATATGTTAGTTATAATGTGTGACCTGGCTGACATCTATCGTAACCGATACTGTGAACAATGTGCTGTCACTGAGTGGTTCGTTGACAAATACGTGCATTTATAAAGGATTTTAGATGTAATAAAGATGTTTACGAAGTAAAAGCTCATTCATGGAGATACATGTACTACGCACTTATGGACAATCATCTTCCTTCGGCAAGGGAGTTAACTGACTAAAGAAGTCCCGTTTCCACTTCGATAGTCAAGTTAACTCTCTTGCTTCGGGAGGATCATGGAAAATCAAAGTTACATCGATTATTCGCTGTTAGAAAAAGAGCAGTTTCAATGTTGGACGTTCGACCCAATAATGACTAAAAAGGGATAAGTTATTTATATTGTACATTGCTATTATATTACCCCTAGGGGACAGATATAGGAAAAAATATTGTCAGTTATTCTCACTTTCCATAACAATTGTTCCTGCTTGCTGATTGGCTGGTTCGTTCCAATTGTTCCAATGTTTTCATTGTTTGCGAAGATGCCCAGTATCAATGTGACCTCATATGAATCGTGACATTGTCTCAGATGAAGTAATCCATTGTTGACGTCTTTCGAACATTTGACGATTGAGCATATGAAACTCACATATTTTCTTTTTAATTTGGGTAATATATATAATAACCTACTTGCAATTCGAAATCCCTCTTGAATTAATACTAATGCATATGTGTACAGCGTCAACAACGGCAACGCGACGTACGACTTCACTGATCTGGACAGTATGATGGACCTCCTGTATGTGAACGGCCTGAAGCCAGGGTTTGAGATCATGGGGAACCCGTCCAACCTGTACACTGACCTGGAACACAAGACCCAGGTGTACATGTGGCGGGACATGGTGCAGACCATAGCACAGAGATACATCAGTAAGTCTCGGGTCACTCTCTGAAGCCACTCCAAGGTGTTCTCTGCCAGCGATTCATAGAGGTTGTAGGTTGTCTATCAGGCTGTCCAGGTCAAGGGGTCCTAGAGGTTGTAGGTTGTCTATCAGGCTGTCCAGGTCAAGGGGTCCTAGGGGTTGTAGGTTGTCTATCAGGCTGTCCAGGTCAAGGGGTCCTAGAGGTTGTAGGTTGTCTATCAGACTGCCCAGGTCAAGGGGTCCTAGAGGTTGTAGGTTGTCTATCAGACTGTCCAGGTCAAGGGGTCCTAGAGGTTGTAGGTTGTCTATCAGGCTGTCCAGGTAAAGGGTTCCTAGAGGGTGTAGGTTGTCTATCAGGCTGTCCAGGTCAAGGGTTCCTGGAGGTTGTAGGTTGTCTATCAGACTGTCCAGGTCAAGGGTTCCTAGAGATTGTAGGTTGTCTATCAGGCTGTCCAGGTCAAGGGGTCCTAGAGGATGTAGGTTGTCTATCAGACTGTCCAGGTCAAGGGGTCCTAGAGGTTGTAGGTTGTCTATCAGACTATCCAGGTCAAGGGGTCCTAGAGGTTGTAGGTTATCTATCAGACTGTCCAGGTCAAGGGTTCCTAGAGGTTGTAGGTTGTCTATCAGACTATCCAGGTCAAGGGGTCCTAGAGGTTGTAGGTTGTCTATCAGACTGTCCAGGTCAAGGGGTCCTAGAGGTTGTAGGTTGTCTATCAGGCTGTCGAGGTCAAGGGTTCCAGGAGGTTGTAGGTTGTCTATCAGGCTGTCCAGGTCAAGGGGTCCTGGAGGTTGTAGGTTGTCTATCAGACTGTCCAGGTCAAGGGTTCCTAGAGATTGTAGGTTGTCTATCAGGCTGTCTAGGTCAAGGGGTCCAAGAGGTTGTAGGTTGTCTATCAGACTGTCCAGGTCAAGGGGTCCTAGAGGTTGTAGGTTGTCTATCAGGCTGTCCAGGTCAAGGGGTCCTGGAGGTTGTAGGTTGTCTATCAGACTGTCCAGGTCAAGGGGTCCTAGAGGTTGTAGGTTGTCTATCAGACTGTCCAGGTCAAGGGGTCCTAGAGTTTGTAGGTTGTCTATCAGGCTGCCCAGGTCAAGGGGTCCTAGAGGTTGTCCAAATTTCATTTTGGTAATGTTTCTTCATCAGTATACGTTAAAAGTTATGATAATAATTTATGTCCATCATCACAATCTTAGTAACTGAAAAGTACATACCTCGAGCAGTTGTCATGTCAAGTTGACCAGTTTTCTGAAGAAAACTGCACGATGAGCTTTTCTACATATAGTGTTGTAAATAAAGTGACAAAAATCATATAAAAATGCTTTATTATACAGCTATTTTCAATGTATTGTAAAATCACATACATTTGTTATGTTTTAGTGAACAGTGAGAACATTTTAACACATTCTTTCAAAATGTATTATTTGAAATGTAAAACATATCTCAGTTTATGAAGAAAACAAATCTCAGCCTCTGAAAATGAAAAAAACAATTACAAGATGACTCACACATACACGCACCTAAATATCAAATGGTCCGCCCCTTACTAACAAGGCGCAGTTGCCACCAAATGTAATTCACACAGATGAGGATATTTATGGTAGTGCATGCCATCATTGATGTAGTTGACTTGTATGGCGATACAAGGAAGTGACGGTTGTCATATGATGTTGCAGGTAAGTATGGGCTGGACTACGTGAAGACCTGGAACTGGGAGACTTGGAACGAACCTGACTGCGGGGACTTTGATAATCTCAAATTCACTGTACAAGGTACACATTTCAGATTGTACACACTTGTCCTGGGATCCTGTGAACGAGGCTGTATGTCCCTAGGGAGCACATAGGGAGATCACGGGGTGACAGGAAAGGATACGAACTTTGACTTTCTCTTCAGAACGTAATATTAGTTTGGATTACCATTCATTCATTCATTCATTCATTCATTCATTCAACATGACAGCTATTAAATACGAATAATTACTGACGCAATGCAAAGAAGATTTTATTTATCTGTCTTTATTATGTGATATTTGTCTCCAAAGTTTATCGAGTATTATGGTTTTTATCTCCTGTTCCATATAAAATCTGGTTTCAAACTTTCAGAATATCGGTTGGCGTTGCTATCACTACATTTGCCAGTTTTTGAGTCTTTCGATTTCCATAATGAAGTTAATTGTAAGAGTATGACGGCTTAATGTCACATTAATTACATCATTATCACAACCCATGATGTGCAGGCTTTCTGAATTATTACGACGCATGCTCCGAGGGTCTGAAGGCAGCTGACCCCAGCCTGATACTGGGTGGCCCTGGCTCCGGCTGCGACTCCATCAGGAGCGGGATCCCAAGGTTCAATAAGAAGTATGCGGAGACTTTGCTGGACCACGTGGTCAATGGAAGAAACTACTTCACGGGGGAGAAGGGGGTGAGGATCGACTTCATCTCCCTACACAGGAAGGTAGGTCAGGTGTGGTGTGTTTTGATACGACGGATTCATTAGCTGTCTAAACCAACAAAACAAAACATAAGCTGTCTGGTACAAGACATCGCAATCCATTGTGCAGAGTTGCGCCCCTTTGCCGTGCAAGAGGGACGACTTCGTGGATTCGAACATCAGGTTCCTGGACTACACTGCAGTCCACTAAGTGACATATTTTGGTTGCCGTTTGTCGTCTCTCCTAATTCCTTTTCTCGAACACCTGGTATCATCCCTATTTGATAGTGATTCATAAACGCATTCTTATGATATGGTCGGAATCGTACAATCGACTTTTGGCAGAGATTTCTTGTGCATATGGTAAGGGTTTTGTCGCTTTTATTTCTTTGCTTCATTTTTGTCATATTTTATTATAAACTCCGCTAGTTATATACATGCACTATGTGTATTTGTTGGTGTTTAACAATGATATGTGACTATACATGTACTTTGTACTGGACCCGTGAAGATCCGAGGTAGAATAGGTCTTCAGCCATCCATGCTTGTCGTAAGAGGCGACGAACGGGATCGGGTGGTCAGGCTCGGTGACTTGGTTGATGCATGCCATCGTATCCCAATTGCGTAGATCCATGGTCAGGACGTCAATCACTGGATTGTCTGATCCATACTCGATTACTACAGACTGTCGTCATAGAGCTGGAATATTGCTGAGTGCAGCGTAAACAACAAACAAACAAAACCTTGTACTGTGTATTTGTTGGTGTTTAACAGTGCGACATGATGCTATACATGCACCTGAGATGTGTCTGTCAATTCCAGGGAGACTCTCACGCTGCCAACATCATTAACGCCGAGGTTGATTCCGTGGCAGTCATCCGGAAGCGACACCCAAGCCTGGCCAACAAGCCTTTCTTTAACGAGTAAGGAGTCTTAATTTGTCTCGACTGATGGTAAAAGCTGGTACCCAATTTGTTCCTGAGTTGAGACCTTTGTTGATGTCATTTGGAAACTTTTAACTTTTGGCGTTTCTATGGAAACAAGTAAGAGGGTAGTCTTCATCAACAATATTGTACAGCTACATTGCTGGGAACTGTTATTCTATGTGAAAATGATGACTTCTTGTTACGATTTAGATTAAATATTGTTGATGTGTTGGGTGTGCTCCTTTGGTTAAGTTGGTGTAGGCGAGTCCTGAGCGGGGTTTTATGCTGTCGTCAGCAGATTCTACTGTAGTCTAGTCTTGTGGTTGAGAGTCGAGCACAATGATAACGCAAGAGTTCAGCCGTGGTCAGGCTTCCAAATGAACAACACAATCCCGACAGTCATTGTGACCATCCAAGAGTCGCTACCTGGTCTGTTTGAAAGTCATTCTGACCCGGATTCCAATCGTCAATACTTCACGGGTTTGTATACACAAGATTCCCCCCGTCACCCATGTATACACACAGCTTCTGTCAGGGTAGTCATGATGCGTGTCTATTTTCATTCAGGTAATGAAATGAGCACGTTGCGCCAGAATTATTGCCGATGTAATCTGAGCGCTCATTGGTCTGAGAATGTTGCGCGAGAAATATTGCCGATGTAATCTGAGCCCTCATTGTTCTGAGAATGTTGCGCGAGAAATATTGCCGATGTAATCTGAGCGCTCATTGGTCTGAGAATGTTGCGCGAGAAATATTGCCGATGTAATCTGAGCCCTCATTGGTCTGAGAATGTTGCGCGAGAAATATTGCCGATGTAATCTGAGCCCTCATTGGTCTGAGAATGTTGCGCGAGAAATATTGCCGATTTTATCTGAGCGCTAATTGTTCTGAGAATGTTGCGCCAGATTTATTGCCGAAGTAAACTGAGCCCTCATTGGTGTGAGAATGTTGCGCGAGAAATATTGCCGATGTAATCTGAGCCCTCATTGGTCTGAGAATGTTGCGCGAGAAATATTGCCGATGTAATCTGAGCCCTCATTGGTCTGAGAATGTTGCGCGAGAAATATTGCCGATTTTATCTGAGCGCTAATTGTTCTGAGAATGTTGCGCCAGATTTATTGCCGAAGTAAACTGAGCGCTCATTGGTGTGAGAATGTTGCGCGAGAAATATTGCCGATGTAATCTGAGCCCTCATTGGTCTGAGAATGTTGCGCAAGAAATATTGCCGATGTAATCTGAGCCCTCATTGGTCTGAGAATGTTGCGCGAGAAATATTGCCGATGTAAGCTAAACGCTCATTGGTCTGAGCACCTGCAGTTTCCCCTCTTGTGTGAACGTCCGACGATTATTACTGGGCTGTGTGTTGGACACTACATACTGTGTATATTTCACTTCACAGCGAGGCTGACCCCCTCGTGGGTTGGAGTAGACCAGAACACTGGCGGGGAACATCCAGATATGCTGCATTTGTTGCCAAGGTAACGGTAGCTAACTCAATTTAGGAACTTTATCAGCATCAAACATAAGCATATACATCAGCTGTAAATTATAAACATCTCTACCGAATGCTGTTTTTTTTTTTAAAAGATATACTACTCAAACGAAGTTAAAAAACACCAGATTCTTTCATATTATTATATTTAATCTGTCAGGGCGTGACAAATTAAATATAGTAATATGAAAGAATCGGGTGTTCTTTATCTTCTTTTGAGTCGTATATAATAATCGATTAATTGTTTCAGTTCGGGCCAGATATTACAAAAAGTGTTTAATATGTAGAATTTGTTCAATAGTTTGTTATCGCATTGACGTATTCTGGTATCCCGTGTAAGGTTAGCATGACGCATTTTTATTGTAATTTGCTTCGTATTTTATTGCAAATGTTCATTTCAGGTTATAGCACAACATCAAAATGTCATCATACGTAACCAAACTGGAAATATCAATTACCAGTTGCTAAGCAACGATAACGGCTTCCTAAGTTATTACCCAAACCAGTTTACACAGCGCACTCTACTAGCAAGGTTTCAAATGAATAACACCAGTCCAGCTCACGTGGCCTTTGTCAGGAAACCAGTATATGCTGCAATGGCAATGCTGTCGTTGCTAGGCGACCAACAAGTTAGTTTAGACAGCGGAGGTGAGTTGTTTTTCCTTTCAATGTATTATAAAAAGTTAAAAGACATTGCATAAGTATTTGCTGTTGTGAGGATGTGATACTGCAAAACAATGGTGATGGATGTGGGTTTGGATACCCAATTGGCAATGACGATACTTATTACCAGCTAGGAATTCTTTATACATATCAATGGTATGACAACAAAGGGAACTAAAACAGTCCAGATACGGAACTGGATAAGATAAAAGATCTAGGTACTCTATTTGATTTAAGACGTGGCAATAAATATCTCTCAACAGAAGGTAGAAATGCATACCCTTTGTTTAAGAAATGGTCGGGGTCAGCTAATATTTTCAGTGATAATTTTGAAAATAACATTTCTTCGTTCGCCAGTACTGTACCTGTGATCGTTGGCATGATATTGCTGTTATATTTGTTAAAAACTCACTCACCCACTCACTCACTCTGGCGACAGTTAGGGGCCGGGTATTAGCGGGTGTATGAGGAGGAAATGGATATTCAATCGGTCAGACTTCAGCTGAGGTGCCTGGTATGCCCCGTATGCCCCGTATGCCCCGTGCTGATTCTGGGTTAGACTGAGTCCCGAGCACTTGTGTGTGTTTGTCACAAGATATGTCTTAATGTATCAGATGGTCAGGCAGGGTGACTTGAAGGTTATCATACCCCGATGGTGTGGATCGTTGCTCATAATATCAATCACTCGGTTGTGTTGCCATTTTCAATATATACAGGCCGCCGTCATATAGCTGAAATAGTGCAGGGTGAGGCGTTCACAACAAACAAACCTAAGCGTACGCATTAAGAAGTCACCCCGAGGCCTCCAGTACCTGATGCCCGAGGATCGGGTGTCACATTGTGTGACGTGTGACTGCGTCATGGAGCCGGATGTGGGGGATAGTCCGTCATGCTTCCATTTACTTCCCGGCTGATATGGCTTGAATATTGCTGAGTGCGGCATAAAATAACACCAACGATCACTGACTCACTGCTATATCTGTTGGAGGCTTCTCCTGTGTGACACTTGCGTCCGTGTGCGGCCTGGCGTCCCTCCACCAGCCGGCAGCAGACCACAACAGTTCAGACAGGTACTGTACGGGCAGATCACAACAGTTCAGAGAGGTACTGTACGGGCAGACCACAACAGTTCAGACAGGTACTGTACGGGCAGACCACAACAGTTCAGACAGGTACTGTACGGGCAGACCACAACAGTTCAGACAGGTACTGTACGGGCAGATCACAACAGTTCAGAGAGGTACTGTACGGGCAGACCGCAACAGTTCAGACAAGTACTGTACGGGCAGACCATAACAGTTCAGAGAGGTTCTGTACGGGCAAGTCACAACAGTTCCGACAGGTACTGTACGGGCAAGTCACAACAGTTCAGACAGGTACTGTACGGGCAGACCACAACAGTTCAGAGAGGTACTGTACGGGCAGACCGCAGCAGTTCAGCAGGTAGTGTACGGGCAGACCATAACAGTTCAGAGAGGTACTCTAAGGGCAGATGACAACAGTTCAGAGAGGTACTGTACGGGCAGATCACAACAGTTCAGACAGGTAGTGTACGGGCAGATCACAACAGTTCAGACAGGTAGTGTACGGGCAGATAACAACAGTTCAGACAGGTACTGTACGGGCAGACCACAACAGATAAGACAGGTAGTGTACGGGAAGACCACAACAGTTCAGACAGGTAGTGTACAGGCAGGCCACAACAGTTCAGACAGGTACTGTACGGGCAGACCACAATAGTTCAGACAGGTAGTGCACGGACAGACCACAACAGTTCAGAGAGGTACTGTACAGGCAGAGCACAACAGTTCAGACAGGTACTGTACGGGCAGACCACAACAGTTCAGACAGGTAGTGTACGGGCAGACCACAACAGTTCAGACAGGTAGTGTACGGGCAGACCACAACAGTTCAGACAGGTACTGCACGGGCAGACCACAACAGTTCAGACAGGTACAGTACAGGCAGACCACAACAGTTCAGACAGGTACTGTACGGGCAGACCACAACAGTTCAGACAGGTACAGTACGGGCAGACCATAACAGTTCAGACAGGTACTGTACGGGCAGACCATAACAGTTCAGACAGGTACTGTACGGGCAGACCACAACAGTTCAGACAGGTACTGTACGGGCAGACCATAACAGTTCAGACAGGTACTGTACGGGCAGACCACAACAGTTCAGATAGGTACTGTACGGGCAGACCACAACAGTTCAGACAGGTACTGTACGGGCAGACCATAACAGTTCAGACAGGTAGTGTACGGGCAGACCACAACAGTACAGACAGGTAGTGTACGGGGCGAACATTAAAACCACAGCTCATCATAACCAAGTCTTGATCACTATAAACATCGTGAATCCTCGTTTATACCATTCTCGTTTATACCATGGAATATTAAACTACCCATTCAACAAATGATTATCGAAACCTTTTCTCGATTTAAATCCTGTATAAGCAAGATAGGTAAATAACAGTGCCGCCATATTCCTCATATGATATCAGACAATTTAACAACATGCACGCAAAATTAAGACAGGGGGGTGGGACCTTAATTAACGATATACTGAAATAAGAAAGGTTTAAACGAGGATACAAGCTGCCGATGTGGCAGTTAGTGTTTCTTTACTTTTGAGACTCTCCCTTAAGATGTCGACATAAACATGATACCCATGCATTGCAAGTGTGAGCTCACGTCATGCACGAGAATCACTTGCTTACATGTCCCGTTAGACATTGCATCAGTTGCTTATGGATAACAACTTCATTATTTACTGCAAAAGATAATCTATAAATTATCTATACGTTGTCATCCGTCAACTTCCAAGTAATGCCTATCCAACAATCCAGTTGCTCCTACACCTTGAATGTTGTCATCAAAACAAACGCGAAATTTTAATGATAGTTATATTGGTAACTTTTTCACAGAAAGTTTCAAAAATTGGTTTCTGTTAAGGCACAGGCAAACATTTCGATGAGTCTTAATATGATTTCATGAGTTTTAATTAATTTGAAGATAATCGAGAAAAATGGTGAAACAGTTAGGACTATACTAGGGGTGATTCAACGAATGTCGGTACATTGTGATGTACAATCTTAAAGATGTCTGACATTGCCAGTTGGCACCAAGTCACTATTAAAGTGGAAGGTTTTGATTTCTCCACTCTCCTATATTCTACTCACACGTGGACGTCATTGACGTATTTACTCGCACGTCTCTACAGCTGGCAGAGTGCACTGCTGATCTACAACAACAACGACGTTGACGATGGTAACTGGGGTATTCTCAATGTAGACTGGAACATCAGGCCTCCACAGGGCACAGAAGGTAGGCATAGCAACGCTACAGCTACAAACCCAGATATTTAAAAAAAGCAAAAAAAGCTATGAGACGAAATGTTTTTTTCTAAAAAGTACATTGCAACAATGTAATTTTATTGGCAGGCAATTTCTTTTTTTTCGATCTTCAGTGGAATACACATTTGAAACGGAAAACATTTTTCATAGTCAGTAGGAAATACTGCCATACAATCTCGGCCATCTATTAGACAATCCAGAGATTTTATTTGTTAAATTTTAAATTTTATATGTATATGTTTCAAAGCATAGTGTGGAAAGGAAGTCGCCAGTATGAAATTAGTGACGTAAAGCGCGAGAAAGCTTGGCTAATGTGGACTCCTTGCTAGTCATTTCATTGGTCAGTCAAAGTTTACGAAAGGTCGTTCTGACCTGACCTGTAAAGGGATGTCCTCAGATCTTTCTTGAGTGATCCGAGAACTAAGGTCTGATTGATATGCGATTGTCTTTCAGGGCGACACTTCTGTACAGATGCTTGTTCCTTTATCCTTGCTTGATAAAGTTAATCCTGTCTTCTTTGATCCTAACTGCCACTTTAATACAATATTTTACATGGCATATACCTGATATTGGTGTGGTAGACAGGCTCAAATAGATGTGTGGTCAAGGACGCAGACAATTATCTGTAAATGAAAGCGACAAAACCCTTTCCATGTTCATCAGAAATCTCTGCCCAAAGCAGACTCGACTGCACGAGTCCAACTATCATGAGCATGTGTTTATGAACCACTAAGTGTCCCTTGTTTCCAGAGCTGTTCATGGTCCAGTACGGAGTCAACTGGGACATGGGGGACCCCATGGGGGTGTGGGGAGGCCTGTTCAAGGCCCCAGACTTCCCTACAGTCTCACAGTTCAAGTCCATCAGGCAACAACAGGTAATACCTGGATGTTAAGAAGGCAGCAACACCCAAGGTCAATTTGCGATAATCCCATGACGAGAGATCGGGTGTGTCGTGTGAGCAGGGCATTGATCTACTGTGCGATCCACTACACACCAACTGCGTGTAAAAGGCCTGACTGGTAGAGTCCCGTTCTCCAAAGGGACTACGGTAAATCTAGGAGAATAACATGGGAGTTACGACAGTCTTAGCGCCAAGATCGCTTCGTGGAACAGGGCCCAAGGCGACGTTTTAAAGAAGCAATAACATTAACATGGACATAGATCAACTTGTTTTGTAGATCAGCATCCCTGTGACTTTATTTAAAGTTTACTGGAACCATTATCATCCCGGTGCGACACAGTAAATGTACTATGTCGGTATCGGAATAAGCCCAGTCATTGAGTCACAAACCCCAAACAAAAGATGAGACTACATAACGCCCATTTGCAGTCAGACCTAACGTTGAAGAGAGCAGCTAGCCCAGCACATTGTATTTGTCTATGATGTACTTATAGCCACGTGTTAATTCAGGGTCCAGTGAAGTGGACGTCCTACCCAGTGTCGGCTAACGTTTCCCAGGTGCCGATTCCACCCATGTTCCAGCTCCTCACAGACAACGTGCTTCTGATGCACCTGTGTGCCAAGTCCAAATACCCTCCGGAGCAGGTGCGTGGGTCGTGAGACAGGTGCGTGTGTTGTGACGCAGGTGCGTGTGTTGTGAGACAGGTGCGTGTGTTGTGAGTCAGAGGTTCGTGGGTGGTAAGACAGAGGTGCGTTTGCTATGATTGGTAAACTATACGTATTCTGTCTGATGTTACGCCACTTTTCTCAATATTCCAGCAATATCATGGCCGGGCTTCACACACGAGTGAACGATTTAACCACCAGGCTACCTCCCAGCCCTTTAGCAGACTTGAAAAACACGCACCATCAGATGCACCGTAATGAGTTGCACATTGAGCACATGCAAGCACATGTGTTAAGTCTTGTCAGACATGGATTCGAGTTTAATTTAAAGGAGGCAAATTGTAACGCTTCTAGCCTGTGAATATGATGCGAAGGTCAAGAACGACGTGGTGGTTAGGACAAGTATCTATGAATCCTCCTCTTTATGTTATCCTTTCTATGTTGTGACAGGTAACTGGTCTACGCTTCATCAACATCACATCGGGACAGATTCTCGTTGTCTGGTCTGATGACAACATCAAGACCAAGTAAGTAACTCTTGTGGTGCAACGGTTCTGATACAATGGTCCAGTGCTGTAGCGGTTCTGGCACAATGGTCTAGTGGTGCCATGGTTCTGGCACAACGGTCCAGTGCTGTAGCAGTTTTGGCACAATGGTCTAGTGGTGTAGCGGTTCTGACACAATGGTCTGGTGGTGTAGAGGTTCTGGCACAATGGTTTTGTGGTGAAGAGGTTCCGGCACAATGGTCTGGTTGTGTAGCGGTTCTGACACAATGGTCTGGTGGTGTAGCGATTCTGGCACACTGGTCTGGTGGTGTAGAGGTTCTGGCACAATGGTCCACTGCTGTAGCGATTCAGGCACAATGGTCTGGTGGAGAAGCGGTTCTGGCAAAATGTAGATTCGTTTCTAATAATGCTATGTGTGTCAAGGTGAGGGTATTCTCGTAAGGGATAGCTAAACACATGTGAAAGTAAACATATGTTCAGGTCTCATCCTCATCAAGTCTTGTTGCCTGCCGTCTGAAATACGCGGGGAGTGTAGCATGAGGACTTCCCTCCCCATTTTAGTACGCAGGAAAACATCTTTTCCAGAAGAGGTCCATTTATACCAGTTCTCTGATTCGAAGAAATGTATCGATGGATCACGAAGCCGCGATTTTGAATGCAGACGCCGAACTTGCTCTCAGAAGAGGCATTTTGATTGGTTGTTGATTTTAAGCTTATGAGGGAGAGAAATTCTGTGCTAAGTTAATGATAAGAGAGCAGAAATGGTGACTTCCGAAACGAAAATATGGTGGGCAATGAAAGTTAGTGGTATTCTAGATATTCGAGGATGGGGAACTATCACACAACCAACCAAGAGCAATATATCTCATTAAAATCAAATCTTACTGCTCGCTACCGCTACATAAAGATCTGTGGACAGCCCCTTACAGGTCACGTCAGAACGACCTTTCGCGAAAATTGACCGATCAATGAAATGACAGACACAAAGTTTTTGACAACTTCACATCGGGGCAGATTCTAGTTGTCAGATAAAAAGTTTAAATCAGCCAATCAAATAGGAGATTTCTTGAGCTTTTCGGCACTAGTTGAAACATTTGAGAACTGAACAAAAGTAAACTGTGGAATGTGTAATAGATGGCTTAGATTGTTTGGCAGTGCTTCCCACGGGCTGTGCAACGCCACTCCCGTTTCAAATGTTTAGCTTTTCCCCCTCCAAATGGAATCTGTTTCAGCGGATTATCAAGACTGGTTATTCTCTTGCACTGAAGTTTCATTTTTACTGTTGTTCGGAATGTTCCGTGTTGGTCTTTCCGAGACTGCATGAGTAGAAAACACATTCGGATTTTCATTTTCATGATCTCGTAAGCGACGCTCTGGTCGGATGAAAGGTAGTTCTGACATGACCTGTAATGGGATGTCCTCAGACCTTTGTATAGCGCTAGTGAGGACTAAGATTTGATGTTGATGAGATTGGTCCGTGCTAACCTGGTTTAGATTCAGGGGAACCATTCATATCAAATCTGATCAGCTCTTCATCAGAACATCTATCACAGATGTCCGCTCTGTTTATATGTTCCTTCCTTCAACAGATGTATATTCACGTACGTCGTGGAGTACTCTGCTGACGGATCAGAAGCTGGGTTTAAGAGGGTCAACGAGGAAGACACCATCGTCACGGCGGTCGTCATTGCTCCACAACCTAATCCTGCCACGGGTAGGTCCAAGATGCGTCCGAAATGTCAAAATACTGGTAGACACCTGAGAAACATTAATTGTAAACCTTTCTGGTAATTTTAAATCTTACCAGCACAAGTGTAGCATGTTACTAGTGAGTGAGTGAGTGAGTGAATATGGTTTTACGCCGCTTTTAGCAATATTCCAGCAATATCACGGCGGGGGACACCAGAAATGGGCTTCACATATTGTACCCATGTCGGGGATCGAACCCGGGTCTTCGGCGTGACGAGCGAACGCTTTAACCACTAGGCTACCCGACCGCCCCGTTGTGCGATGAAACAAATTGTGATGATACCAGGTTTTCTCGAAACCCTGCATGACTTAGGTTTTCCTCCACTAAGACACACTGCCATGTAACTCAAGTACTGTTCAAAGCTGCAGTAAACTCACTCGCTCACTAAACAGGAGTGTTCAATGTGTAGTGTTGTTTCCAGGCTACATCGGCGACAAGATGGTGACGGGCAGCTACAGGGTGAAGGCAGTGGACTATTTCAAGAGACCAGGGCCATACTCACAAACACAGATATACAAGTGACATCAATGATAGATTGGGATACAAAATGTCCTATTGTAGCAGAACGAAAATAAGACCATGTAATGAAATGTGACTGTAAGTTGGACGTGCACAAATAAAAGATAGCTGTGTATGTATGTTGTCCGTTTGTTTGTTTCTTCACTCTGCACTCAACAATATTTCAGCTATATCACGTCAGGCTCTAAGTAATCGGGTCTGGACCAGACAATCCAGTGATTGACATCATGAGCATCGATCCACGCAATTGGGTAATGATGACATGCATCAACCAAGTCAGCGAGCCTGACTACCCGATGCCGTTAGTCGCCTCTGACGACAAGCCTAGTCGCCACTTACGACAAGCAATGTCGACTTTCACGACAAGCATAAGGTTGCTGAAGACCTATTCTACCCTAGATCTCCTAACCTGTGTACGAAAAAGTAAAAGATGAGCCCGTGTTCCATATGGCTTGATGTTATGAAGTGGTACTTTTTCATGACCCTGTTTAAACACAGGCTGAAGTAGAGGAAGGAGGCGGAAGTCTCTGATTCAGGCGCAGCGAATGTTGACATGTACAAATAATTATATTATGCTGTTACTGTGCCTTTTCTGATGAGGATTATATCCATGTTTCTCAATAATGACATTTACTTTTTAATACGACAGTAATGTTAGAAATGTATCAAGGTAAAGGAGCTTTCAGGGCTCCTAGAATTGTTAAACTTTTAACTATGGTTAAAATTCATGATCCTGATTTAAACTTCTTCGAAACAACTCCTTGATGACTTGAATACGATGAAGGTTGACTGTATCTCCAGAACGCCTCACATACTGATAGGGATTTTGTGGAAGCATTTGTTTAACGCCGCACTCAGCATTATTCCAGCTATATGACTGCGTCTATCTGACTGAGTCTAGACCAGACAATCCAGTGATTGACATCATAAGCATCGATCTACGCAATTGGGTGAGTGAGTGAGTTGTGTTTAACGCCGCTTTTGGCATTATTTCAGTATATCACGGCGTGTCAGCTTAATGTCGGAGGAAAGCCCAAAGTGATGCAGTATTCAGACGTTTATGGTGCTGACAAACCTAAAAACATAATCGGGGCGAATCGGGATTCGAACCAACAATCATAGGTTTCTGGCGTGCCTAAGGGCAAAGCGAATCGCGGCGCCTTAGGCGACTGGGCCACCTGTGCCCCCAATTGGGATATGTATCAACAAAGTCAGCGAGACTGACGACCCGATCCCGTAAGTGGCGTGAGCTGCCGAAGACAGCCTGGGTCTTCACGTTTGTATTTTTGGATGATTAATTCCACAGTACAGACTCTCTAGTATAATTGTACATATTGGCAGCATGCATCTGCACAAATTGGCGTTCACCTGTGATTGTACATGAATGACTGACAAGCATCAACCACATCGACTTTTCAGCTGTGATTGTACATGGATGATTGCCAAGTAACAGCCACATCGACTTTTCAGCTGTGATTGTACATGGATGATTGACAAGCATCAGCCACATCGACTTTTCAGCTGTGATTGTACATGGATGATTGACAAGCATCAGCCACATCGACTTTTCAGCTGTGATTGTACATGGATGATTGACAAGCATCAACCACATCGACTTTTCAGCTGTGATTGTACATGGATGATTGACAAGCATCAGCCACATCGACTTTTCAGCTGTGATTGTACATGGATGATTGCCAAGTAACAGCCACATCGACTTTTCAGCTGTGATTGTACATGGATGATTGACAAGCATCAGCCACATCGACTTTTCAGCTGTGATTGTACATGGATGATTGACAAGCATCAGCCACATGGACTTTTCAGCTGTGATTGTACATGGATGATTGACAAGCATCAGCCACATCGACTTTTGAGCTGTGATTGTACATGGATGATTGCCAAGCATCAGCCACATCGACTTTTCAGCTGTGATTGTACATGGATGATTGACAAGCATCAGCCACATCGACTTTTCAGCTGTGATTGTACATGGATGATTGACAAGCATCAGTCAGATCGACTTTTCAGCTGTGATTGTACAGGGGTGATTGACAAGCATCAGACCGACTTTTGAGCTGTGATTGCACATGAATGATTGACATGCATCAGCCACATGGACTTTTGAGCTGTGATTGTACATGGGTGAGTGACAAGCATCAGATCGACGTTTCAGCTGTGATTGTACATGGATGATTGGCAAGCATCAACCAGATCGACTTTTCAACTGTGATTGCACATGAATGATTGACAAGCATCAACCAGATCGACTTTTCAGCTGTGATTGTACATGGATGATTGACAAGCATCAGATCGACTTTTCAGCTGTGATTGCACATGAATGATTGACAAGCATCAACCAGATCGACTTTTGAGCTGTGATTGTACATGGATGATTGACAAGCATCAGATCGACTTTTGAGCTGTGATTGCACATGAATGATTGACAAGCATCAGCCACACCGACTTTTTAGCTGTGATTGCACATGAATGATTGACAAGCTTCAGATCGACGTTTCAGCTGTGACTTTTACATGAATGATTGACAAGCATCAACCAGATCGTCTTTTCGGCTGTGATTGTACATGGATGATTGACAAGCATCAGACCGACGTTTCAGCTGTGATTGTACATGAATGATTGACAAGCATCAGCCACATCGACTTTTCAGCTGTGATTGTACATGAATGATTGACAAGCATCAGCCTCATCGACTTTTCAGCTGTGATTGTACATGAATGATTGACAAGCATCAGATCGAAGTTTCAGCTGTGATTGTACATGAATGATTGACAAGCATAAGCATCATCGACTTTTCAGCTGTGATTGTACATGGATGATTGACAAGCATCAGATCGACGTTTCAGCTGTGATTGTACATGAATGATTGACAAGCATCAGACACGTCGACTTTTCAGCTGTGATTGTACATGAATGATTGACAAGCATCAACCTGATCGACTTTTCAGCTGTGATTGTACATGAATGATTTACAAGCATCAACCAGATCGACTTTTCAGCTGTGATTGTACATGGATGATTGACAAGCATCAGATCGACTTTTGAGCTGTGATTGCACATGAATGATTGACAAGCATCAGCCACACCGACATTTCAGCTGTGATTGTACATGAATGATTGAAAAGGTTCAGATCGACGTTTCAGCTGTGATTTTTACATGAATGATTGACAAGCATCAACAAGATCGTCTTTTCGGCTGTGATTGTACATGGATGATTGACAAGCATCAGACCGACGTTTCAGCTGTGATTGTACATGGATGATTGACAAGCATCATCCAGATCGACTTTTAGCTGTGATTGGACATGGATGATTGACAAGCATCAGATCGACTTTTGAGCTGTGATTGCACATGAATGATTGACAAGCATCAGCCTCATCGACTTTTGAGCTGTGATTGTACATGGGTGATTGACAAGCATCAGATCGACGTTTCAGCTGTGATTGTACATGAATGATTGACATGCATCAGCCACGTCGACTTTTCAGCTGTGATTGTACATGGATGATTGACAAGCATTACCCAGATCGACTTTTCAGCTGTGATTGTACATGGATGATTGACAAGCATTACCGAGATCGACTTTTCAGCTGTGATTGTACATGGATGATTGACAAGCATCAGCCACATCGACTTTTCAGCTGTGATTGTACATGGATGATTGACAAGCATTACCCAGATCGACTTTTCAGCTGTGATTGTACATGGATGATTGACAAGCATCAGATCGACGTTTCAGCTGATTGTACATGAGTGATATCAGCACAGATTGATTTTTCAGCCATGACTGAACATGGATGATTGACAACCAGCAAAGGTCGATTTTCATCTGTGATTGTATGAGGATGATTGACAACAATCAGTGACTTTCATAAAAATCTGTTCCGAAAATGCTTGGATAAACCCCACAAAATTAAATGGTCGCAGACATAGAGGATGTTATGAAAAAAACACATTCAATCCCCAGATTGTTACATGATTGGCATCTCAGCTGTGATTGTACCTTGATGGCAGAACAAAGTACTTAACTGATCAAAACAAAGTTAGGGATCATGATTATTTTGGGGAATATTTTTTTAGTGAAGACTGAGAACACAATTTCATAAAAATATCCCCCAAAATATTCATATAAAACTGTTTTTGTTCAGTATATATTGTTTGTTGTTTGATGCTGCACTCAGCAATATTCCAGCTAAACAATGGCGGTCTGAAAATAATCGTTTCTTGATCAGTGATTGATATCATGAGCATCGATCTACACAATTTGATGCGATGACATGCATCAACCAAGTCAGCGAGCTTGACCACCCGATCCCGTTAGTTGCTTCTTACGGCGAGCATGGGTTGCTGAAGACCTATTCTAACCGGTATCTTCACCGATCCAGTATATATTGACCGACAGCAAATATATTGAATGTTTTCTCATATTGACTGAGGGAGTTGGGTATAGTTTTACCGGCCTCATCATATTAGAAAACTCTGTAACTTACAATCTGCCACTGGTTTACCTTGTCTGGGCCTGGTGACACTAATTCCATTCAAATGTCAAGTGGTAACCTGAACCCAAAACACTGCCGTCCTACACCCCTCTGACACACAGAAACAAAACATGACAAGCAAGGCAATTGATAATGTTCATTACTATTGGACTTTACAACTTACTCATTGAAACAGATGTATTTCAGACGAGTCCATACAAAAACAGTGACATAGATGAACAACACATAAAGGGATAACATAACTCTTAAAAAGACTTCACACTGGTGAACAGGCGATACTGACAGGTCTTTTGCAATTTTTTGCAGGGTGGGGAAGGGTTTTGGTTTGGACATATATATTTTTAACAAAAATAAAAATAATCTCCTCCCCAAACTGCTTGAAGGATGTGGTAAATAAGATCATTCACTGGCCCTGCTGGGTACCCAGGAAATATTTTGTTGTGGATGAAAACAAGAGTAGTTTGGGTCCTCCTTTCAGAGGAATTACCTAATGTACTGAAACACTTGACTGAATATATTCTGTCTCAAACCATAATCCCAGGCCTCCCCCTAACTATTAAATGGTCCGTCCTGTATCAAGCTAGTGATGCCATGGACAGTCAAATGTAATATTACGCTACAATAACCTAGTTTATCCAGTTTTCAAGAACCAAACTGCAATAATTTCTACCATTCATGAAATACTTGAAGGGTATGCCGACAATATATTATAGCTGGAAATCTAAAAGCAATAAGCTACTGTCATGATATTTGTACAACATTTTACTTGGTCTTTAATTAGATTTTTGATCAGAAGAAATAAACATGACCAAACACAAATAAATATGATGTATTTCCTTGTCTCCATAGTGATATCACATATTAATAGTCATATTGCATCTTTATTTAATACACTAATATCATAAATCACAGATATGTAGGATAAATACATAACATTGAAACAATGTAAGTCAGGATGAATCTGTTAGGAATGTGTACACAAACGATACTACTTGCTAAACAGAACACTTGTTAATCCAGACAATTTCACTGTAAACAGTCAACAGGTTTTCAACTCGATAAAATTTACTGAAACTGATGAAAATCTCAAACTAGACATCTTTAACATATTATTGATCATTGACAACTTAATAAAAAACATCACTTTCATCCCATTAGCTTCCTGTCTTTCGTTCACTGTTCTCATAAATAAGTGAAGCTTTCATCCAGTATACATATTTCCTAATTTCCCATATTGAAACTACAATTAAACTCCACATGTTCATTTTTAAAACAAATGATTGACATGCAACATGATTGTATCTGTAAACAATAGAAAAAGCACAAGACACAAGATTTCCAAACTGTAATCATGGTAATGCAATATATCTTTCAAATGATTACACACAAAGTTAGGATAAGATATATAGATAATCAACTTCCTTGTACAATTAGGAGCCAAGTTTCGGTGAAGGTAGTGCTTGATAATGCTGTTAGAACCTACACCCACAGCTCCTAATTGTAATAACCAAGTTTTTCATCAATATATCTTATCCTCACTCCAACATCTAAATGCCTGTCAAAGAAATTCTACACAAGATAATAAATGAACTCGGATGCTGTAGATGTTACTTATACTTTTAAGATGCATGGCAATGAAAGGTAACATTCTAATTCATGTTGCCACTTTTGATTATTTGCTGGGAAAAAACTTCAAATACAAAAAACATGGCAACATTACCCGGTACTGTTGAATACTGATACATAGTAGCTTGATTACTCCTTGAGGCTCGAAGAATCTTTTAAACCATCTGATTTTAGTACACATGAAAAGTGAATTCGTTAATTCTTGAATTGTTCCTCTCATCAATCCTTGTCTGTACAAGCACTTTACCACTTTACCACTTCGGTGAAACCCATGAGCTCGGGTACCATACTGACAAAGCAATGATTATAGTCAGGACGATATTATGTATTCAAACCCATGATTTGTTTGTTTCTTTGTTGCTTAACTCCCCACTTAGCAATATTCCAGATATATGATGGCGGTCTGTAAAAAATCAAGCTTGGACAAGACAATCTAGTGATTGATATCATGAGCATCGATAAAAAAACATCATCCCAGGTTTCTGGCCACCGAAGAGGCAACCTGCACATAGGCACCTAGAGGACAACTGCCCGTGCCTGTGTCAAGCATGCTTGGAGAGCAGTGTACATGTGCTGATACCGGAGCCAACAAGCATATGTATATGTATATAATCTCAGCTGACATTGCCTACACCTGGCCATTGCACACTGCTGGTCAACAGGAGGTCAAGCCAAATATAACCATGACTATTCAGTTAGACCAACAGGAACTACTAATAACATTGTACATTGTTACAGCTCCGTGTGTTGGTTTCACCTCAAAAAACCATATAACATAGTCTTACACTGATAGACATTGGGAAATTATCTCTTGGACTGCTTGCAAAAATTGGTTGAGAATGAAGCCAAATATTTACCAATAAATAAAATGATGTTCATTAAAGAACATCTCGGGAAAACACACACACTCCAAGTTTGACTCTGAAAAATGTTAATGAAATCATGCTCATGACAGAAATGTTTCTTGATTTTAGCTTTCCAGTCTGTTCTTATCAAACAAAATGTCCTCTTGATAGTAAGATGACAGTCAAATGTCCACTCTTCAAGTTCACATATATCTAGCATACAGTCAATCTGGTCAAACACAGCTGTACAACATTCACATGATGAATAGACAAAAAGTACCCCTTTAACATTGTCACAAAAAATAAAGAAGTTGTTATCCATACAATAGAGTCGTGTTCAACATCCAGTTCATGATTCTCATTTAGTCTTTTGGTAAAACACTGACAAGTTTCTCAGTTGAACACCATTCTCTTTGACAATGATCTCAGACAAACCTACAATTATCTCCATGAGTGTCAACAAACATCCTGGATATCTGCTGGATATATGTCAGTAATATCTGCAGTTAATTACCATAGACAAGGATCTGAACCAGACACATATATACCATAGTCAAGGATCTGAACCAGACACATATATACCATAGTCAAGGATCTGAACCGGACACATATATACCATAGTCAAGGATCTGAACCAGACACATATATACCATAGTCAAGGATCTGAACCAGACACATATATACCATAGTCAAGGATCTGAACCGGACACATATATACCATAGTCAAGGATCTGAACCAGACACATATATACCATAGTCAAGGATCTGAACCAGACACATATATACCATAATCAAGGATCTGAACCAGACACATATATACCATAGTCACGGATCTGAATCAGACACATATATACCATTATCAAGGATCTCAACAGGACACATATATACCATTGTCAAGGATCTCAACCAGACACATACATACTAGGGCTGGGACGGGTAACTCAGGTACCCAGGTCGGGTGGGTACTGAGTAGGTCCTGGGTCCCCACAGGACTACCCGGACCCGGACCTGGACCCGGACCCATGGTTATATTGTTTAATGACAATGAATTATCTAGAACTCTATGGTTACACTACATGTCACTATTGTTCCCAATTCTTTCTCACTATGCACCCATCTGCATCCTTCTGATTTTTCATATGGTTGAATAAAGATACGTCTTAATTCAACTTCACTGTATGAATGACCAGATTGTTTAATATATGTATCTAAATACGTTTTGCCAGGGCTATGCTAAAAATGTTCCCAATCCGACATTTTGAGACATCTCCTCAGACCTACAGTGGGTACCCGGGTAGGGTCGGGTAATAGGGGGTTGGGTACCCGGGTAGTAAATTTGGACTCGTCCCAGCCCTTATACATACCATTGTCAAAGATGTCAACCAAACATCCACAATTTCAGTGAAACATTATCCACAAAGGTCTGCATGAGTTTCACTCAAGCTGCAGGACAAGGATACCAGCCAAACCTCCAGCTCTTTTCAACAAGAAAATCAACTAAACTATCAGTAATCTTTGACAAGGATCTTAATAAATCAGCAGTCTTAATGAAAATGATGTTAGCCAAACCACCACATACCAATATTTTTGAAAGGATCTCGGGCAAAATCTACAGTTTTCACTGACAAGGATCTCAGGCAATCCACCATTTACCTTTGACAAGAATATCAGGCAAAGCCCCATTTATCTTTGACAAGGATCTCAGACAAACCACCATTTATCTTTGACAAGGATGTGAGGTAAACTACTATTTATCTTTGACTGAATCTCAGGCAAACCTTTTATCTTTGACAAGGATTTGAGACAAACAAACATATATCTTTGACAAGATTCTCATGCAAATCTGCAGTTTCCTTTGACAACAACTTCAGTCAAATATATTGTTCTCATCAAAAAGGATCTCGGCCACACAGTTATCCTTAACAATTCAATTCTTGTCAACAAAGACAATGGGCTGTGACTACTGCTGTCAGTCAAATGACCAGTCCTCCTCCATGGACACCTCCTCCAGCTGCTGTGTCAGATCAGACATGGCCGAGTTGTCTGAAAGTAAACATCAACACAATCACTTGTCTGTTGTTAAATGCTGCCATCAGCACTATTCAAGTTATACCTGTCAGCTATGTAGACCCGACCACAAAGCACAATGTCATGCCATCAAAAACATCAACACAATCACTTGTCTATTGTTAAATGCTGCCATCAGCACTATTCAAGTTATACCTGTCAGCTATGTAGACCCGACCACAAAGCACAATGTCATGCCATCAAAAACATCAACACAATCACTTGTCTATTGTTAAATGCTGCCATCAGCACTATTCAAGTTATACCTGTCAGCTACGTAGGCCCGAACACAAAGCACAATGTCATGCCATCAACCAAGTCACTGAGTCTGACCACTGGATCAATAAAGCTGCCTCTGATTACAAGTAAAGGCTACTTGTGACTAATTCTAACCTGAGGTGAGGTGAAATGGGGTTTAACGTCGCGTCCAAGATTATTGCACTTATATAGCGACAAACATGTACGTGTGTGTGTTTGTGTGGCTGCTTGTACTAGTCCAGACTGATGCCGATTTATAGTGCTAGCTCACTGAGATACCATGCCGCAGTTTAACATGAATACCCCACTCAGACACAGTATACTGACTCCGAGCCGACCAGTCCTTGTTTTAGCCCCTTAATGCCGAGCGCCAGACAGGGTAACAACAAGTACCATCTTTTAACGTCTTTTGGTATGACGTGGCCGGGGATCGAACCCCGGACCTTCCACTCTCTGGGCGGACGCTCTTAATTCTAACCCGAAGTTAACTCATGGTTAAAAAAGAAAGAATATATTAAATCAAAGAGGGAATATGAGTGTCATTCTCATCATTCTTGCAATTCTAAAGAAACATGCTCATTATTTAAATAGGAACACATGGATATTTGGTACCTATTAACCATGATTACAAATTGTCATCCACAAATATCCCATGTTATTCCACCTCCAAACTAAAAGACATTGCTTCACAAGGCAATTAAACAGTGAGTACAAAGTTTCACCCATTTACTGCCCCAAATATGTGGTCCCCTTACACCACGTTAACATATTAACATATATTATCATTCACTGTCATTAAATCTAGCCATCTGATTGGATTATCACTGTCTTGTACAAACCAATACCAGTACAGACATCATGACATAGTGCTTGCTGTCATGTTACTTGTTTGTCAAGGATCCACGCAATTGGAATCGATGACATGCATCAACCAAGTCAGCGAGCCTGACCACCCGATCCTGTTAGTCGCCTTTTACGACAAGCAGAGTCACCTTTTACGGCAAGCATGGGTTGCTGAAGACCTATTCTATCCCAGAATCTTCACGGGTCTAAACGTTGATGAACACTCTTTGACATCTGGTCTTGAGGTGTACAAGTGCATTCAGCTGATACAATGAATACACCCTGCTCTTGACACATGTAATTCATTTTCCTCAATGTCCACACAAAGTTCTCTGACATGATAATGTTAGGTCACTTAAGGCCACAATAAATAAATTATTAGATTTTCAACCAAATTTGTCAAAAATGTTAAGCAGGAGGCTTTTTATTTTATTGTAAAAACTGTTAAAGCATCTGTCTACCATAACTATTGATGGATGTAATTCATATAATACTTTAATGTTTGCTAGGACTACTGGTATATGGTATTTATCTCATCAAGAAAGATGAAAGTTTACTGATGTCTGTCAAGGGTGTGACTGACCTTTGGTAGGTTACTGATGTCTGTCAAGGGTGTGACTAACCTTTGGTAGGTTACTGATGTCTGTCAAGGGTGTGACTGACCTTTGGGTAGTTTACTGATGTCCGTCAAGGGTGTGACTGACCTTTGGTAGTTTACTGATGTCTGTCAAGGGTGTGACTGACCTTTGGTAGTTTACTGATGTCTGTCAAGGGTGTGACTGACCTTTGGTAGGTTACTTATGTCTGTCAAGGGTGTGACTGACCTTTGGTAGTTTACTGTTGTCTGTCAAGGGTGTGACTAACCTTTGGTAGTTTACTGATGTCTGTCAAGGGTGTGACTGACCTTTGGGTAGTTTACTGATGTCTGTCAAGGGTGTGACTGACCTTTGGTAGTTTACTGATGTCTGTCAAGGGTGTGACTGACCTTTGGTAGGTTACTTATGTCTGTCAAGGGTGTGACTGACCTTTGGTAGTTTACTGATATCTGTCAAGGGTGTGACTGACCTTTGGTAGTTTACTTATGTCTGTCAAGGGTGTGACTGACCTTTGGTAGTTTACTGATGTCTGTCAAGGGTGTGACTGACCTTTGGTAGTTTACTGATGTCTGTCAAGGGTGTGACTGACCTTTGGTAGTTTACTGATGTCTGTCAAGGGTGTGACTGACCTTTGGTAGTTTACTGATGTCTGTCAAGGGTGTGACTGACCTTTGGTAGTTTACGACTGACCTTTGGTAGGTTACTGATGTCTGTCAAGGGTGTGACTGACCTTTGGTAGGTTACTCATGTCTGTCAAGGGTGTGACTGACCTTTAGGTAGTTTACTGATGTCCGTCAAGGGTGTGACTGGATGCAGCAATGCTGGTAAGGCCTCAGATGTTTTCCGTCGCAAATTCTTAAACAGTGGGTGATTAAGTAAAAATGCAGCACTTGGCCTGAAAAAAAATAAACTGACGTAAGTCTATATTTTTTATTGCGGAACAATTCAAACCATTTCCTCCTTGTGGATTCAAATATGTTCATATCACAACAGTCAGGAGATGAGAACACAGAAATACATTAGAGATATCAATATACTTGTAAACCTGTCTCTTACCTTTGTTCAACATCTCTTTCTAAACATAGTGATACAAAGTTGTGAAAATGCTGTGAAAACGTTCTTTCAAAAAAAACTTTTTCAGGTCTATTGGCATCATCAGCTCGGGCACCATCTGAAAAAAGGAGAAAATATCGTACATAATTTTTCAACATAAGCAAAGGAATGCTAAATTCAGCATGCTTTATCTTTGGTTGACACTACAGAAGTTGTGGGAATAATGCAACTTTTGTCATAGACTTATTTGTTTGTTTGTTTGTTTGTTTGTTTGTTTGTTTGTTGTCTAACGCCTCACTCAGCAATATTCCAGCTGTATGACGTTGGTCTGTAAATAATCGAGTCTGGACCAGACAGTCCAGTGACTGACATTATGAGCATCAATCCATGCAATTGGGGTACTATGACATGCATCAACCAAGTCATAAAGCCTGACCACCTGATCCCGTTAGTCGCCTCTTACAACAAGCAGAGTCGCCTTTTCTACCCCGCATCTTCACAGGTCTCAATTAGTAATATCATGTATTGATATATTTTAAGTGCAGAGTTTGCCTGCTGTTTGTTTTTCAGGAAAAAACAGAAAAAGACATCAGAGCAATGTCAGTACAAGAACGATGCAGCATGGAACATTTGAATATAACAATTTGTTTGGCATCAACTACATCTCACCAGATTCTGAAATGGCATCCTCTGTTACAAAATTCCCTACAGTTGTTGAATCTGCTAACATTGGCTTGGTTCCATTCAGTTTTTCAAGAAGCATCTGAAATCAGAACAAAATACTTCATGTCTTCTTTACTTTCAACCACTACACCATGTGAAACAGAAAATCCATCTTCAGTTCATCTCAACCTGAGACTTGACAGTAAATCCTACTGCTACCTACCTGTGTGACGGGCATGTCTGTGAAGGGAGCCTGTCCATTGGCTAGTTCACATGCTGTGACACCCAGACTGTAGATGTCAGACTTAGTGTCATAGCCTGATAAATTCTGCAACATAAAACATGAAACATATATATTCAGCTCAGAGTGACTTCAGAGTTCAGAGTTCAGAGTTCAGAGTGAATGAGTTTGATTTTACGCCGCTTTTAGCAATATTCCAGCAATATCACGGCGGGGGACACCAGTAATGGGCTTCACACATTGTACCCATGTCGGGAATTGAGCCCGGGTCTTCGGGTTGAAGAGCGAATGTTTTAACCACTAGGCTACCCGACAGCCCCGATTCCAGAGTGAGCTCAGAGTAAGTGTCAGCAACTTTTCAGATATATCACAACAGTCTGAAAAGATTCAAGCCTGGGCCAGACAAATGATTCAATTGAAAGTGTGAACAAAGAGCCGTAGGGGTGAGACAACATGCCATCAGACTCGTCGCTGAGTCTCACCAACCTACATTACAGTTAGTTCTCAAGTACTAACTTCCTTGCTGAAAATATCACATACAGATATATTCTAGTATTTCAAATGTTACAAGGGAACACCGTGTACAGACATGTTCTAGTATCTCAAAAGTTACAAGTGAACATAATGTACAGACATGTTCTAGTATTTCAATGTTACAAGGGAACATCATGTACATACATGTTCTAGTATTTCAATGTTACAAGGGAAAATCATGTATAGACATGTTCTAGTATTTCAATGTTACAAGTGAACATCATGTATAGACATGTTCTAGTATTTCAATGTTACAAGTGAACATCATGTATAGACATGTTCTAGTATTTCAATGTTACAAGGGAACATCATGTATAGACATGTTCTAGTATTTCAATGTTACAAGTGAACATCATGTATAGACATGTTCTAGTATTTCAATGTTACAAGGGAACATCATGTATAGACATGTTCTAGTATTTCAATGTTACAAGGGAACATCATCTACAGTCCTGTTCTAGTATTTCAATGTTACAAGGGAACATCATGTACAGTCATGTTCTAGTATTTCAATGTTACAAGGGAACACTGTGTACAGACCTGTTCTAGTATTTCTGGACTGAACCACTGCAGGTGCTCTATAGCATTGTCTGGGTAGTCATGGACAACTCGCAGTCTCTTGCCATCCTGCATCATGAAGATGGCCGTCTGCAGCCCCGACAAACACACCTTCCCCGCCGCGGAGATCAGAATGTGACTAGCTTTGATACCCCTGTAACAAACATGTCACTGTCTAGTCAAGACTCTTATGAAACCTCAGCCTCTTGTCATGGAGACAATGAAGATTAATTAATGCCTCACACTATAAACTTCACACTATAACGTGTTATTCCAATTAATATATTTCAGTGGTTTCTGTTTTCAAGGAATTGACAATAAAATATGTGATTGACAACTTTCCAATATTATTTTCTGAATTGTTGTTAGATTAGTCAGAGTACAACATGTAACAAGTTCTGATAAAATCAAAACAGACAAGGTTTCTGGACCTGTTGCTTGTAGCTGGGATTGTGAATATAGTAAAATAACTTTGTAAATGTTTTGCCTTTTATTATATGTTATTCATATTCTTGATACAGAAAAATATTCTCCAAAGTCATGTATTTTTTACAGTAAAAATATGATAGATACTTAGCCTGATTCAAACTTATGCTTATCGCTCTCTTTTCCGAACAGGTAGTGGAAAGTTCCTGTGCTGTGTTCCCGGACAGAGAAAACATCTTGTGCAAACACACCCCTGGCTGTGCAGGTGCACGGGAGACATGTAAACCAAGACCAGTTACTTGTCACTCCCCCAGTTTAACCAATTGGTCATCGATTGCTTTTGTTTCCTCAAATAACATACCAGTGTGCATACCCACAAATCATTGTCCCCACAAACACTCCAGATTCTGGGCCCTGTCCGACAACTGTTTTAGCACTAAGATCACCATGTGGAATGAGGGCATGGTCTGTATTAGTTTTCTCTGTTTACTGATTCTATGATTGCGGTATACACTCACCTGTGAATAATTCCTCGATTGTGTAGATACTCCAGTGCTAACAGTGTGTCTCTTAGCACGTAGGCTATGGCTTGTTCGGGAAGCCCAATGGTGAAGAACGCATGGATCAGATCACGACTAGAACCTGTAATATATACAAACATACATCCTCTCAGAAACTGTCATGGATTTATTCTAGTTACTTAGGGACTTCTAGGCATTATATTAGGCACCATTCTTAGATCTCAGTGTTAAGTATGATCGTACGTTCCATACATTAACAATGACTTACGGCAGGTGTAGCAATCATGCCTCCAATTCATTAAGAATGACTTACGACAGATGTAGCACTAAGATAATCGTGCCTTACATACGTTAACAATGACATACGACAGACGTGGCACTAAGATAATCGTACCTCCCATACGTTAACAATGACTTATGACAGACGTAGCACTAAGGAATCATACCTCCCATATGTTAACAATGACTTATGACAGACTTAACACTAAGATGATTGTATCTCCTATACGTTAAGAATGACTTACGACAGACATAGCAATAAGATAATTGTGCCTCCCATACGTTAACAATGACTTAGGACAGACATAGCACTAACATGATCTTACCTCCCATACATTAACAATGACTTACGACGGAGGTAGCACTAAGATGATCGTACCTCCCATACGTTAACAATGACTTACGACAGACATAGCACTAAGATGATTGTTCCTCCCATACGTTAACAATGACTTAGGACAGACGTAAAAGCTGCACGTCTGATGTGAATGAACATACATTAATTCTAGGAGCATGATGGACGAAATCTCACCGAAGGCCATGAGAGGCATGATTGACCACAGCTCCTGCCCGTGGATGAAGTTCTTGTAGTGCGGCAGTATCTTCTCATGCTGCAGCTGCTTGCACAGAACGATCTCCCGCTGTGGGCAGCAGGACAGACAAACATGAAGCAATGTAGGCTCAGAAACACACACGTTTCATCTGTACAGCTCTCAATCTAGCTGACACATGTGCAGTCCGAGCCTAGAGAACCCTCGAGTCTTGATTCAAAGCACATGAGCAAAAAAATGTACTAAACCTTTCAGAGTTTCATACTTCATTCTCAAAGGCTCTGGCAAGATAATCTGACTTAGCTTATCTCTAATTCCTTTTGCAAAGAAGAATATCACAACATCCAAGACATGTTACAGTCAGATTAACGCTCATTGTGCTTAGCACTCCATGGAGTTATATGGCCTGTCTCCATCTTGCAGTTAAAACAATTCATACTATCTTGAAAAAAAAGGGGTCCATTATTTTGAAGTTAGAGAGCCCCCAACCTTTATCTTAAAGCTAACTATTTGAGAAAGGAACTCACATAACCCAGAAGCAAAAGGGCCTGTTATCATGTAGTAGGAGGGACTGGCATTATCTTGAAGGTGAAAGGTACTCACGCTACCTTGAAGTAAAAGGGACCTGTTTGATATGGAATTTGACAAAATTAAGGAAACAAGACTCCCTACATTCTGAACAAGAACTCTGTTCCAGGAGGATCTTGTGTTCTGGACCTGTGTTCTCACCTGGAGTAGATTCAGGTCCAGGTCATTGGCCTCCAGGTCAGTACGTTTGATGGCAATAGTCGCTCCAGATGTCAGGTGCTTCGCCAGTGATATGGTGGCCGAGTCCTGATGCCCTTTGCCTACAACCCAGCAATTAACACATCTGATAATGACTGACCAACACTAGTTGAATAAGTGTCAAGGAGAGGTTTAACTCTGCTTTGAACAATATTTCAATCATATCATGGCATGTCAGCTGTATGTGGAAGGAAAGCCTGAAGTGATGCAGGTCTTAGATGCATAACACGGTAGCAAAATCCACAAACATGGGTATGGTGTTTGCAACCCTTGACACATTATCAATCTGGGATTTGAACTCACAATGAAAGGATCCTGGCACACCAAAGGGACGTAACTCTGCACATAACGATGGCTAGGGCTCAGAAAACAGGGCGACCCGTGCCCCTTACTAAATAAGAGGTTGAACATTACCTATGACTGAGTACAGCTCATAGGAAGAGGCATCCGACTCAAACTCCAACATGGCGGTCGTGGAACTGAAACTATCGGATGAGGATGCCTCCGACCGGGCAGTCACATCACCTCGATCATCACCCTGGAAACAGGCAAACATCATATTCAAGTGACATCAACTGGACAAGGGTTTACTGTAGGGACTGGTAAACAGATAAGAACACACAAAATGCACTAATGAAGGAGTGAATGTTGTTAACACTGCAGTCAGCAAAATATTCCAGCTAGATCACTCAGCCTGTGAATAGTAGTTGTGACTAGAGACTGAACACTTCAGCAATGATCTACACCACTGGGGAATGGTGATAAGCAATCATCAATCTGATTTCATGTATTTTGAGCATGAAATCTTCATTGACAAGTATACAAAGAATAGTGCAGTCAGTGTAAACAAGCATCTCTATTACATTAATAGTGAGTGAGTGAGTTTGGTTTTACGCCGCTTATAGCAATATTCCAGCAATATCACGGCGGGGGACGCCAGAAATGGGCTTCACACATTGTACCCATGACGGGAATCAAACCCAGGTCTTTGGCGTGACGAGCAAACTCTTTAACCACTAGGCTACCCGACCGCCCCTATAACATTATTAGCAAATATGTTACACTCTTACTTATGGACTATTGCTGAATGAATACATCATGACCCTGGAGATGATACACTTACATCCTGATGCAAAACGTTCCATACTTACCTCAAGACCTGTATCATGATAGAGTGAGTGAGTGACTTGGGTTTAACCCCACTTTGAACAGTATTTTTGTTAAATCACAGGGTGTCAGGTTGATGTGGGAGAAAAACCCAACGTGACACGTGTCCTGGACATTGACCCATGTACTCGGTGTTGACAAACCAAGGATCATAATCCAGATGATCAGCGTATCCTGTCATAACTAAAGGATAAAACTTATAGGAGCAAGGTGCGGCATCTTACACCACTGTATCTCCATATCATGGTACAGATATTGCAATAGTGGAATAGAATATCAAGTTATTTTTTCCCCCACAAATATGGACATTTCAAATTAGAAAACGAACAACTGAAACTGTGTTTCTTTGTATCTCTCAGGGGAAGTCTAGGTGTTTGAAAGAGAGTGAGTAGTCTACTGGACCCCGGTCCACAAAGTGATCTCAGAGCTACGATTGTCGTAAATCTATGTCAAAGTAAAGGAGTTACGAACGCCTCAGCGCTTCACGTGTTTTGTGGAACCCTGATCCGAGGACATCCCATTAAGGGTCACGTCAGAACGACCTTTTGCGAATCTTGACCTCCCACTGAAACGACTAACAAGAAGTCAACATCAGCCGATTAGAAAGCAGCTTTCTCGAGCTTTCCAGCACTTGTTTCAACCTGGCGACTTCCATTTCAGACTATGCTTGAAAAATATGAAGACACAGTTCTCGATTAAAATTTTGAAAACTGAACAAACAAACATCCCGGAATGTCTTATATATTGTTGCGATTGTATGGCAATGCTTCCCATGTACTGTGCAACACCTTCTCCGTTCAAATGGTTATGCCACGCCAAGGAGAGAGAGACGATAATTTTGACGGAATCAGTCGTACGGGCCGTAACTGTCGTTCGGATTACCGAGTGTTAACGTTTTCGAGCTTGCATGATTAGAAAACACATTTCGACTGTCACTTTCATGATCTGGTTAGCGATGCTTTGATTGGTCGGATGAAAGGTCGTTCTGACGTGACCCGTAATGGGATGTCCTCAGATCTTTGTTTTGCGATAGCGAGAACTAAGATCGGATTTTAATGAGATTTATGTTTTGAGAAAGATGAACCGACAATCCTTTCTGACTAATGCTCAACTGGGGTATATCATGTAGAAAACCAGTACTTGTCTTGCCAGTTATATTTGGGTAAATGTTGACAAAAATAAGATGCTAGGTTTGGCGGACTATCAAGTTGGGTTTGTGTTTACTATGTGAGCTGCAGATACATCTTATGTTCGTCTAACTTCATGAATCAAGTCAAATATCTGGAAACCAATCTCACACAAATTTAACTTGGTCATGGAAGCTTTGACCTGTTTCATATTGACATATTTCAGTTTGAGTGCGAATACCAAACAATTTAAAGGATGCCTGATAGCCGGACACTGTGACATTAATAAGCTACATTGGTCTCTGACCAGATGAGCTAATATATTGAAAATGAAGAAACAAAAAATCAGTGGTGTAAATTAAGGGGGGAGGGGGGCGTCCTGGGGTCCCTAATGTTTGCTGCCATATGAACCCACAGCTAGCCACCTTAATGCTGACCTATTACCATGAGGGGTTTGTCAAGGATCCCTGGACTTTCACACATTTCAAGAGTTTTTATTTTTGCCTTCTATTTTTAATTTGGCCTTGTATGGGGAAAACACTATATAAAGTTAGTGGTTCCTCAGATGTCTAACCTAACCAGTTTGCCTGGGAAGTTTACAACCCTGGCCCCAACCTATAAAGCAGTCTAACAAGGGCACTAGACCTGTATTTCCAGGATGCCATTTTGAATGTAGGTGTGCCTTGCCTATATTACCAATAATAAATAATGATTACATAACTTGGCAAAATAATTATTCCAATCTGGGAACTTTTACTGACATTTCCTTCAAACCAGAGGCTGAATATCTGCCTCTGAGCAGGTCTAGAAAAAACTAATCTAAAATAAACTTATTTCGTCTATTATTTGTAAATTTATAAATTTGCATTTGTTCAGAATTTAAGAAATATATTACTTCCAGATTTAAGTTTTCCACATTTCACTTCTTAGGTATGTTGGGTTCCAATGTTTGGTAGGACAAGTCTCACTTGATGTCTGTTAAATATGCTACTCTCACAGATGCATGAAGAGCTGCCTAATTCACTTCACATGAGCATGAAGAGTATGCCAATATTTGGGACTACAGTCATTAGCCGAAGTGGTCAGGAATACCTACAAAAAAACTGTTTCAAGTAAGTTAGCCTGGGGAAAGAGTTCTAAATATGAAAGGCTACAGTGATGATGGATGACTTGGTATAGCATAACCTCATATAGCCTTTATTTCAAACCTTATGTCCATGCGGACAAAAATACAAGCATAACAGTCCCACGATCATGACCTCATCCAAATCCAATTCAACCAGATTCAATAAAGATTTGCTTTAAAAACAAATTGTAAAAATCTAGCTAACTGGCACCAAAAAGCTGAATGCAAGTATTTGTCTGGTATGGCACACAAAAGATGGACTCAGGGATGACAGTTTGCCTGGCGTTTAAGATGCAACAAAAGCTGTGTTATCTAGCTCTATCCCTTCATGCTGTACATCTCATAGTTTCTGTATTACAGTTGAAACAAGAGCATGAAGATAATGGTGTTTTCAAACATGGCTGCCAATATGGTCACCTTACATATCTCATTGTTTGAATGAAATTATGCTAAATCAGACTTCGGATAATTTTTAGAGGAGTTGAGTATTTACTCACATGTTATCAATCGCTTTAAAATCAGAGCTTTGACTCCATTGCGATACATCAGTGTATGAAGATGTGTTGCGTCAGGTGAACTTTTTAAACAGCCAATCAGCATTGAATATATAATTAATAAGTGGTCAAAGCCATTCTAGCTGACAGTGACCTTGCTAGAGGCAAATTTCATAAACATTCTTAAGGGCAAGTTGGATACCAATCAGTCAGTGTTCTAGAAAATGAACCAATCTGAATCCCTGAGCAGAGATCCTATATACCATACCAGAACATACACAGATAGCGTAAGGAATGATGAAAAAAAATAAAAATAAAAAACCAAATTCTTTGTATCCTTACAAAACTGCTTTGTTCCTGGGCCATTGAACAAATCTAGGTGACTCCTGAAAACAGATTTACAATGTTTGAGATATTGAAACACAAGTTACCAGGGGCGTGTAGATGCTCCTATCGAAGGGTTTGTTGGCAGAGGGAGAGTCGCTAACGCGTGCCTTCGTGCAAGCACAGTGCTGAAGATAGAAAAGCAAAACACATTCAAAACAACCATACAAAACATAAAATGCTATCTCAGTTATCAAAATTCTTCAGCCAATCACAGCTATTAAATACGCATCAGTGCTTGTAAAGTTGTATAAAACTTTCTAACATGAAAACCACGAATGGAATGATCTGATCAATATTTCTCAGAAAATGCGTGAGATGTAAAAGATATACATTTGATTGGATGAGTGGGTCAGCTGGGTTTCTGTTATATCATGGCATGCGAGAGCAATGTGACAGGAAAGCCTGAAGTCATGCAGGTCTTAGACGTTTACAGTGCTCGTGGTGAAACACACAAGCATGGGTATGGTGTCAACAAACTAAGGAGAATATTCAGTGGCTTTTGAACCCATGATTAAAAGATTCTGGTAAGCCTAAAGGCTGCAACTCTGCAAGTGCAGTGCCTTAGACAACTGGTCCACGAGTGCCATCATTTCACTCCTGAAGCGTGGTCTGTGATCCTCCTAGTCTCATGTAACCATGACAACTGCTGTAGAACCTCAAATAACAGACAGTCATCAGGCCTCCTCATCACAAACAACAGAGCAAATAGCCCAGTACAAGGGAGCGAGGCATTCAGAGCAGCTTATGTCTGAATTCTGTATCTTGAAAACAAACTAAAACAGACAGAATATGAGAGAGACTGTGCTATTTTATTGTAGTGGCTATTTCATACACACTGTCAATTTGGAGCACCATGACATCTACATACATTTAGGTGTAATATCGAGGGAATATTAGAGTGATTGACACGCTGTGAAACATCAACACATATTGGAATATGCGATACAGTTAAATCAGTCTATCCATGCCAAAAAAACAACATCACCACTAACCGATATATTATGGCAGTCTGTAAATAACTGAGTCTGGACCACCCAGTCCAGTGATTGATATACTGAACAGCATCCAACCCAATCAGAATTGGATGAACATGCATAGAACTAGCCTCTTACGACAAGCTCAGGTTAATTCTATACCAGAAGCCTTCAAGTACTTACAATGACCATTTACAAATTCATAGTTGGTGAGTACGGATTGCCACTGCTTTTAGCAATATTCTAGCAGTATCTCAGTGGGGCCACCAGAAATGGTCTTCACACACTGTATCCATGTGAGGAATCGAACCTGGGCTTTGGGTATGGTTAGGAAATGCCTTAACCACATGGCTACACCACCACCACGTCCTGTTTACATGGCTTGGTCTTGTTCCGTGTAACGCAATAGCAGATTTCACCATGACAACAGGGCACAAGATGTATTAGCAGAACACTGACCATGATCCAGGGTTAATTTTAGCAAGCTCTCATCCAAACAGAAAGCTGTATAAGCGTTAGAAAGCATTTGAAATCTAACAAATTATATTTGCTTTATGAATTGTTTTCATCAACAGGCGCTTGTTTAGAAACAAAACTTAACACAATTGCAAACATCTAACACAAAGATGTCACTCCATTCACTCACAAAATATATCAGAGGGATACATATTTCACAACTGGAACTTTAGATCCATTGAAAACAGGTGCATTATCAGATCTCAACTTTTATTAAGTGTTTTCATTTTATCCTTTAGGACCAATCATTTGATTTTCAGAAAATCTGATTTTGCACATAGAACGATGACACACAAGCTGCACAGCCTCACCATGCATCAATTAAAATATACGAAAAATATTAATATCATGTGAGACAGTGAATTTTTCCAATTATTTTTCAACAAAGATTATTTTCCCAATATTACAGAAAAGGTTAGTGATCCCAAATTGTCAATGATGTCACTTGTACATTATCAACCAGGAGCAACCTGAAGGCCTCTGAAAGTAACTGAAGGCCTCAGTCAACAAAGAAATCTCATCTTCCTGAGGCAAGGGAGTTAACTGATTATAAAAGTATAGTTTCCACCCTTGCTGAACTAGGCTGGAATTTCGTGGCTCGATCATAGTGCTACCAGTGGGCATTACGAGATATGTCCCTTCAATGTCCCTCCTACTGACAATCTGATTCCACCTCTCATATCACTTGCAATTGCTAAACAAAATGGCGGTGCCCAGAAAAGACGATCTGATCAATAATCAAGCTCTATATCGTAATAAAACAGCCTTACCTTGCTTTCAAATCATTTGAGCTTCTGGATTAAAAACATGAAAAGATTTGCAAAATATTTGTAAATGCCCATTTGATGGCACTCATGCTCTGCATATCCTACAACCAATCAAAATCTACATGTTGAATTCCATGTTGTTTACGACATGGTGTCTAGTTCATTGCGCGATTTTGATTGGACTATGCATAGGCTCGTTGGTCCAGCCAAAATGTAACTCCGGAATTCCAGCCGAGTTCCACAAGGGTGGAAGCTGGACTTTCATAGTCGGTTAACTCCCCTGCCTCCAGAAGATGTCCTTCCAAAAAGCGATCCTAGAGCTAAGATGATCGTCACTCCTAGTATTTGTTACAGATAGGTTTCAGTAGTAGATTGCTCTGTGGAACAGACCTGACTTTACCATGTTCACAGCGATGCATGAATGGAGAGTTGTCTGGACACTGTTAGTTGTGACACAAAGAACAGGAGTGAGATGGAAGGAGTGGTTACCACGACACACACAGAAGGACCACAATAATCATGACTTATCCAACTTACAAAACTACAACGGCAGCTGCTAACACTCCAACAACTGCATGCAGCTGTACTGGTCAATACATGTATCACTACAGCTGCTGCTGCTGCTATGTACTATATGGCTACTACTACTACTACTATATATATACTTTTGTTTCATTTGATTTTGATATACATATATATATATATATATTTGATTTTACAGTACATAACATTAAGCATGCTAAGAGAAGGCAAACTTGGTTATACTTGTACGTCTATGTAAATGCAGTCTCTGAAACATGTGAATATTGTTTAGAGTTACACACCCTTGACGTCTAAGAAATGTGAAAATGTTGTTGTTGCTGATGCGCCTACTACTTCTACTGCTACTACTACTACTACTACTCCATTGCCCAGGGTATTTTTAATATCCATGATGATCTTATACATGTTGAAATATTCAAAAGCTCACATAATTTAAGGCTTTATTTTCATATTTACTTGGTTCACATATTTTAGTTCCAAAACTGTAGGAAAAGCGGTGGTTTTTTTCCTTTTAAACTTTAAAAAGAGACTTCGAAACAATTAGCTGTCAGGTAAAATATAGAAAAAATTAAAATATTTTTGTAAAATTCAAGTCAAAGGGTTACCATTGTTACTTGATCCTATATTGTCTCACTACTGAGTATTGATGCTTTACTGAGTATATGCTGCAATGTCTATTAACATTTCTAATTATTGTAGACCTATGGCTTACATAATTTGCCCAGGAAGAAAAGTTATTTTCTAAGGGCTTTTAAGGTATCAGTGTACAATATTTTTGCTTCTTATGTGAAACATGTCCCTTGACAGCAGAAATATTATTTTCATTTCTAATAAAAATTTCAAAAAACACCTACCTATCTAAACATGTTTTCAACATGAACTTAAAATTACCCCAAGAAATTCAAGGATTGAAAAATGATACCATCTTGGTGACTGCTATTCACATTACAAGAATGAGGACAGGACATATATTGGAAGCACCAGGTTTAGCATCCTCCGACTCACCAAGAGAGACATGGACAAGTCTCAGCTGGAAGCACTTTGTTACTGTTATTGTTGAAAATATTTAAGATGTGCTGAAAAAACAATCAACAAAACATCACTTCTCAACAGATCAGTGGTCGAAATTACGGGAAAAAAAGTCGAAGGGTCCTTGTCATAACCCCAAAGTTAAAAGTTTGAAGACTCAGGGCGCCCCAAGATCCAAATAGTAAAGCAGCAAACCTCACGGACCCCTTAATTTCAACACTAATGATCTTTTTTTGGTTTTCAAAACTTAATTTCATATGTGAATAAAAAACATTTCTGATATGAAAGAGAGAAAGACCATTTCCTGAGATCATGGTATTTCAAACAATGAATGTCAACACTGGCAAGATTGCAGAGTCTCTAACATAGATGTCACCATGTAGAATATTCATTTAACAGATCTGAATAAGGTCATACAGGGTCTTTCTTATTATCTTATAACAGTATGGTGAATGTTAGGCTGTGAACCTGGAATATAAAGATACTGTTAACAAAGGTTAGAAGCATGATTGACAACCTATGGTTAGTTACATCACAGATCTGGCTGATGATAATTTACAACACTGAAAGCTCGCAAGCTAAGGCTTTACACGTTTGTAAGGGGACATTCATCATTAAATTACTGGAGCAATGACCTGTGATAGGGCGTGAGTTGGGTTTCCTACAAAGACAGTTTGATCGAATGAAATCTCTAATTCTTCAGGGGCGGTCGGGTAGCCTAGTGAATAAAGCATTCGCTCGTCACGCCTAAGACCTGGGTTTGATTCCCGACATGGGTACAATGTTTGAAGCCCATTTCTGGTGTCCCCCGCTGTGATATTGCTGGAATATTGCTAAAAGCGGTGTAAAACCATACTCACTCACTCACTGACTCACTCTCATTCTTCTCCAATTTAGATTATCCATATTTCAAAGCATATAAAATGCATAAAGTGTCATTTACAAAATATTCATTTTCCAGATGATGGACATGAAATATGTATCAAAATTCTGATTTTATCAAGTTTGTCATCCTTTCAAATTCATTAAATCATATTTTAAAATACTGGCTGAACATTAATGGTAAGTGTGTTCATGTACAAAACTTGAATCAATTTCTTCTGCAGTAAGTAAGGAATATTTGCATTGTTAAACTATAGATCAGAGTCATTTTACATAACAGATTTGGTGATGTACAAAACATCATACAAACATTACATACAAGTTTGTTTGGCGTTTTACACCACACTCAGCAATATTTCAGCTGTATGACAGTGGTCTGTATTATAGTGGTCTGTATATAATCAAGTCTGGATCAGACAATCCAGTGATTGACATAATGAACATTGATCTATGTCAAGTCACCTGATCCCAATAGTGTCCTCTTACAACAAGCATGGGTTGCTGAAGATCATTTCTAATCCAGGCAGATCTTCACAGGTAATTGTGTCTAAGTATTTGTTTACAAAAATATGAAGGTATGTATATAAGGCTACATGATATATATTAAACATATATTGTGTTGATCTATATGGTACAGGATGCTTTTCAATAATTAAGAAAACAAATTATAGGCAGACGATAATATTGTATGGGCATAATAAAACACATGCATGTTTTGATACGCATAATGTGGAAAAGTTAGTGAGTGAGTTGGGTTTAACGCCGCTTTTAACATTATTTCAGTTATGTCACGGCGTGTCAGCTCAATTTGGGAGGAAAGCCTGGTGAAACCGGTGAAACCCACGAGCATGGGTATGGTGCTGACAAACCTAGAAACATAATCGGGCGAACCGGTATTTGAACCCACAATCATAGGTTTCTGGCGTACCCAGGGGATGCAATGCTGCACAGGGAAACGCGTCGCCTTAGATGACTGGGCCCCCCGTGCCCCCGGCTGTATAGTGACAGTGGTGACCAGTAAAGTGAGAATCAAAGACATGGGCCAATATGGAGACCGGCATTCCTTGTTTCTATCACATCACATAACACTCAGTCAAACTGTGATTACAGACCAACCTCTTTGTGTCAAACTCGTGGGAACCTGGAAAATAGTATGGGTTATCCGGAGTTAGAGACAACCAACAAAGTAAATTTTCGAAAACCAAACATCATATTATGAGTGAGTAAGTATGCTTTTACGCCGCTTTTAGCAATATTCCAGCAATATCACGGCGGGGGGACACCAGAAATGGGCTTCACACATTGTACCCATGTGGGGAATCGAACAGGTTTGGGTCTTCGGCGTAACGAGTGAACGCTTTAACCAGTAGGCAACCTGACCGCCCCTCATGGTATGAGAGATTATTACCAGGTCTGGATGCAATGCTTAATTTCAAGGCGTACGTAAAGTTCAGTGTCCATGCTGCTGGTAGTGAAGGGGGTGGCAACTCAGCCGTGTCATCGATGTCGCTGTCCCCATTTGCACTTGTGTCATTATTTAAGTCATATCTCAAATAATAGATTCACTAAGATAATCTTAAACTGTTTTACTCATTTCTCTCTTGGCGGCCATGTGAGAACAGTAATCTGCAACCGATGTGTATACAGTAATCAGCTTGTATGAGGTGAGGTGAAATTGGGTTTAACGTCGCGTCCAAGATTATTGCACTTATATAGCGCGCATGCATGTGTGTGTGTGTGTGTGTGGCTGCTTGTACTAGACCGGACTGATGCCGATTTATAGTGCTAGCCCACTGAGATACAATGCCGCAGTTTAACATGAATATCCCACTCAGACACAGTATACTGACTCCGAGCCGACCAGTCCTTGTTTTAGCCCCTTAATGCCGAGCGCCAGACAGGGTAACAACAAGTACCATCTTTTAAGGTCTTTTGGTATGACGCAGCTGGGGATCGAACCCCGGACCTTCAGCTCTCCGGGCAGACGCTCTACCACTAGACCACGGAGGCGGTCTCAGCTTGCATGACTAATGTAAGGTGTGCTTGTTAACGGGACGTGATGGGATATTTGCATGTTATCAGAAGGTATCCTGCCTTTGATGCAACTGGGGCAATCGCAACGAGGTCAGTCAATTGTGTGTGAAGTTTGGCAAGTGTGGGTTTGTGGACGTTATTTTTTACTTCGGAGTATTTGGGTCATCAGTGGAATTTTATGCTTAATTTGGATACTTGGAGCTCCCAAATGAGTTTGTGACACCGGGGAATTCGACACGTCCAGTTCAACAGAATGAGATTAAAGCATAAATGATGATAAAAATAGAAGGAATTCCCAGGGACCAGAAGGTGAGTTTAAGACAACCGGGAATTTGACACATCCAAGTTCAACACAACATGGTTCAACTGTATATTCTTTATTGACTATATGTTGTCATTCCTTATCCGCTATCATGGATGTTTCTTCGTCCATTTATTTTATGTTTCAGCAAATTTGCAAATATGATTTCGAAATATACCCTCGTGTTGTGGGTTTTCAAGCCCCTAAGAAGTATTTCTCAATACATGCATATAACAATCCCAATACACAATAATTAAGTCTTACCTTTGAGAAAATGTATGTCTGTTAACACTGAATGGCCAAGTGACCATGTCTTATGCGTCTAATTTTATTGCGATAATACCTCGCCAAGCGAGACAAGTCGTCAAGGCGCCATTTTGTTAACATCACACGATTTCAAGCCCCTCCATTACAGTTAAGTCCATTACAACATGGTCAATCGCATGACATTACAGACAGGAAGTTCACAAACATCAACTGATACATAGTTGAGAAACATATGATTTTTCCAATGCAAAACTATCATCAGATCAAGTTTGATCAAATGTGCATTAGTGAAATAATAAGTTTTGAGGTATGTTTTCATTACTTTTCCTATATCTTTCCTCATGTAGCTTAATTCGCAACATAACTTTAGCGGCAAGTGGGCTTTGAAGCATCTACCTTTATTTCATCTTTAAGCATCTTTAAGCATGTGGCCACGTATTGTTAAGGGGCTCGAAAAGAGGTGTGACGTAAGGATCCATAAATATGCTAATTTTGGGTATACAGTTGCGAAGGTGCATGCTTGACAAATTGACTTTCCTCAACAATCTTACAATGTAAGTATTTTTTATAATTATTCTCTTTTCAGCATCCTTCTAATCTCTTACAACTGATGCTATTTGAACTAAACAAGGATACAACTGAGGATCACATCAACAGTGCAGACATAAAGTATACAGAACTGCCTGGCTCGGTCGTTGCAACTATGCCGACGTCAAGGTATTGTGTTGATTAACCAACGTCTTTACACTCTCTATGTACATTACCAGCTGACTACCGTACTTGTAGTTCTGTATATGCACCTGTTACCTGTTGTACAGCTATAAATGTTGTGACTGAATCCACTAATTAAATTTACTTCTCTGCGTTGTTTACAGCAATAATGGAGTACTCATTGTGAAATGTATGACTTTAATTAGTAGTGCTAGTTCTCGTTGTCTTTCATGTAAAAAACCCTAAAATATATAGACAAATAACAGCGATATATATGATAAATGTATATTGTCAGAAATATGAGGATAATTTGTTAAATAATAAGAATAATCTTAAGATGTGCATACACAAGAAATAAGTCGGGGAGCAGAGTATTTGTTTTACAACTATCAATGTATAAATAAAATCATGACAATTTTAAAATAGCAAATAAATAAGAAAACTGTGTAGATGCAACCAATATTTAAAAAGAATGTTTACACAAGTGCAATGACCAAATATTAAGATGAAAATATTCAAATATGTTCATTCAAGTTTTCATCGACGCTTCACATAAAACATAAGTTCTAGGAGTATTCGATATTTTGCGACACTATTTTGACTTGGCTCCGTCTTTTCAAAGCACTCGCTAAACAATTACAGTTGTTATGTATATGCATTATTTACGCCTATGAAATCGTAGAATTAAAGTATGTGAACATCAATAAATCTAATACCCCATCATACTGAATTTAGGTCAAGTTATATCAGGCCTTTTTTAATGTTACATAGATCTAACGGTACTTTTTTGCTACACCCCCCCCCCCCCCCCCCCCCTCAGTGCAAAACACTCCTATAAGCTATTTTTTATTATAAAATGCTTGTCCGTCCTCTAAATGTGAATTATTTTATGAAATTTAATACCCGAATCCAAGTGATAAAACCGAGGGGCGTCAGTAATGGAGGTTTTATCCCGAAGATGAGGGTTTTAAATCAAATAAAACCCCGTGGGGGGTTAGCCTACATCTAAAACGGCACCTCAGCAAAACGTCACTAAGCGAAAACGGCACACTTTTTTTCAATGAACCTTAAGAAACGGGCGTTGTGGTCTATCAGCGCCCCTGTAGCTACACTTGGCTGCAGATACTAACGTTGCGTGTTCGATCCTCGGGAATGTTTACAAATAAAACATTTGTCATCTGATTTTACATTTCATTACTTTGTGTTCAAATGCAAAATCAGTTTCGAGCGAGAAACATTCATATGTTACAATATAAACGGAAGTTGTATTGATAAAATTCCCGGGAAGTTATAACATCCCTATTAATGAGATTTAACCCTACTGGAGAACAAAAGGATGACGTCAATGAAAGTTTATGAAGTGTAGTAATTAATACCCTACCACCAATACAACTGGATATAACTCCCGGCGGGAACGTATGGAACTAACGTCCCACTGCAGTTTCCGGGTTTTAGTGATATCATTAATTCGACGAGCACTTGCGTTTATACACACTGCGTCACTTGTGTCATAATTACATAGCTCATTATCATTCATGGTCTGGAATGGGGGAAATGGGGAGTGTATTTGGGCGTTGTGAAAAATGAGACACGTTTTAACACATTCTGTGCTATTTGTTGAAATGTTAATAATAACTGGAAGGTATTGCGTGGAAGATCGATCATAGCAATTCAGACCAAAATTTATCAGTTTTAGCAAGGATGTTTTCGTCAACCTGAAGGTAGGATTAAATTATTATTCTAGAAAATATTGGAAAATATGTTGTGGGTATGAAAAGAAGTTTTTTGCCTTCTCCTTTCAGAAAAAAACAAAATGTATATCTTGAAGCAGTCACCAAGATAATACTTCCATGTTCAGACTAGTGAATGTTTCAGATTAAGTTGCATTCCTCACACTATAATGAAAACATTCATCTGTAAAATATTTTTTCTTCTGTTTTCTATCCCAGCCAACATGACAATTGGAAAAGACAAACGCATTCTTCTGCAGCGCAACATAAACGCATAACCACTGAATAAGGGCAGATAACTCTAAACTAGTACCTAGAAAACGTGACCTCGGTCAGTCTACGGACTAACATTACACAAGCGGAAGGACATGGAACAGGGCATCAAATGATCCTGAATGGATTGTGGAGATGACAATGGCAATTGAAAAAAGCCGGCGGCATGGAGTGTTTATCACTCCATTCCAGCAAATGGTTGCTTCCTGTTCTGGAGCCATGCTCACCTCTATTTCAAGTAAAGCCCTACTTCTTGCCCCTATGACTAGCAATTTTGCAGTTTAGCCTTGATCTGTTGACTAATCTGGGACTTATTCCATAACATATTATGTGTATGTTACCATTGTTCCTGCAATGTCGAGAGAAGTGATGCACGTTATGTGTGTAATGGGACACTTACACTAAATGTTTGTAGGGTTAGACATATAATTGTCAATGTTTTTTATTTGTCTGATGCAACCTGTAAGAAGCACCGGGATAGTTATAGTTCTGAATTTAAATTTGGGTGTTTAACCACTGTCTCTTTAGAAATGGCAAATACTTTGGATGGACATTTGTTAAAAAAGAATACATCAATATTGAAATAAAGGTCAACAGTATGCAATGTTACACATGTTACAACATGTACAAATAAAGTAATGCATTTTCTTTACATATGAATAGTGGAACAATACAGAACAAAATTCAATGAACAACCCTGATATTATATCATACAGGGAGCAAAGAAAAGTTGCCATATAAAACAGAAGAATGTATACTAAAGAATGTCAGTGCACACAGAGGGACACCAAATTCTAAAGGACACCATTCGCATTAAGAAACGCCAGATAGTGCTGCAATATGTTCGACATTCTGAGTTATATCGGCTTGTTCTGATGTGTACATGAAACACGGCGCCAATGTGAACAACACATTTATTTATTATGCCATTCCTCATGCATGAGACCCCTTAAGATCCGAGATAGAATAGGTCTTCAGCATCCCATGCTTGTCTCCCGTGAAGATCCGGGGTAGAATAGGTCTTCAGCATCCCATGCTTGTCTCCCGTGAAGATCCGGGAAGGAATAGGTCTTCAGCATCCCATGCTTGTCTCCCATGAAGATCTGGGGTAGAATAGGTCTTCAGCATCCCTTGCTTGTCTCCCCTGAAGATCCTGGGTAGAATAGGTCTTCAGCATCCCTTGCTTGTCTCCCGTGAAGATCTGGGGTAGAATAGGTCTTCAGCATCCCTTGCTTGTCTCCCCTGAAGATGCTGGGTAGAATAGGTCTTCAGCATCCCTTGCTTGTCTACCGTGAAGATCTGGGGTAGAATAGGTCTTCAGCATCCCTTGCTTGTCTCCCCTGATGATCCTGGGTGGAATAGGTCTTCAGCAACCCATGCTTGCTGTAACAGGTGACTGCTTGTCGTAAGAGGTGATTTACAGGATTGGGTGGTCAGGGTTGCTGACTTGGTTGATGCATGTCATTGAATTCCAGCTGAGTAGATTGATGCTAATGATATCAATCACTGGATTGTCTGGTCCAGATGCGATTATTTACAGACCACTGTCATATAGTTGGTATATTGCTGAGTGCGGTATAAAACAACAAACAAAACAAAGCCTCATGCACCAAATGACATTTTCTATTTCATCATAATTTGGAATGCATTTTTCTGTGTTTTGTGAATATCTAAACATTTCTTGACAGCAATGACTTTTTTATTTTCAGTGACTCCTTTTGATGTTGTGAAAATTCGTCTTCAAGCACAGAGGAAGCCGTTTGTTAAGGGGGACTGTTTTCTATACTGCAATGGCTTGATGGATCACATCTGTGCTTGTCTCAATGGCCAGCCAGCCACATCTAGTCAGTGGTACAAGCAGCCAGGGGCATTTAACAGCACAAAGGTTAGTGAAAAACAATGGAGACGTAGTGGGGCTGAGGCTGGCTGTGTGTAGGTGTGTGTGTGGGTGTGTGTGTGTGGGTGTGTGTGTGTGTGGGTGTGTGGGTGGGTGGGTGATGGGGTGTGTGGGTGGGTGGGTGTTTTGGGGGTAGTTCAGGAAGAGGTTTACTGTGTGGTTGGGATGGAGTTGGATTTGGTGGTTGAGGAAGAGGTTTACTGTGTGATTGGGATGGAGTTGGACTTGGTGGTTGAGGAAGAGGTTTGTGTTTGGCGTGGAGTTGGACTTGGTGGTTGAGGAAGTGGTTTGTGTTTGGGGTGGAGTTGGACTTGGTGGTTGAGGAAGAGGTTTGTGTTTGGGGTGGAGTTGGACTTGGTGGTTGAGGAAGAGGTTTGTGTTTGGGGTGGAGTTGGACTTGGTGGTTGAGGAAGAGGTTTGTGTTTGGGGTGGAGTTGGACTTGGTGGTTGAGGAAGAGGTTTGTGTTTGGGGTGGAGGTGGACTTGGTGGTTCAGGAAGAGGTTTACTGTGTGGTTGGGATGGAGTTGGACTTGGTGGTTCAGGAAGAGGTTTACTGTGTGGTTGGGATGGAGTTGGACTTGGTGGTTCAGGAGGAACATCAAGGGCAGCTAACTCTGATTGTTTCCAACTGGCTTCTGGGATGCGTATGGGCGAGGTGTGTTTACTCTGTGGTGTGGATACTGAAGATGAGATGCAGTCTGCCCTTTGTCACAGCAGGCTAATTATAGAGTGTTGTATGGAATACACAGATCCCTGAAAACGTATGTTTGGTTGCAACAATATCTGATTACAAAGAAGCCCTGTTAATCCAGAAGGTGCCATTCCTAAAAAAAGATTGAATAGAATAGCATTTTTCTGGATCAATGAATCACAGATATGAAGTAATATCTGTTACTATAGATGGACACACCCATCAGTTAGCCTCCGGGAGGGCGCAGGAGTTAAGGAGTAAAGGCTTCTGAACTAATATGGTTTCATTGCGCACCAAACTTGAAACTTTCTAACTTTCTGAAAGTTTCGATTGAGCTTCGTTTGTCGATATGAGGTTGCACATGTTGCAGGTGCTTACATGTGACTATATGTGTCTTCTGTTGCAGGATGCCTTCATTCATATAGTCCGCAATGAAGGTATCACATCGTTATGGAGTGGTCTACCGCCTACATTGTGAGTATATAGCCTGCGTTTAGAAAAGTACTGTGTGTTTAAGCAATAAAGCTCTACCCCTATGTGTAGCGTAATAAAGTATAGTTTTGTCCTGAAGGATTGTAGTTAATGCATGAGGATGTTTGTGTCAAAAAGTGTACTTTGTCACATACAGTCAAGTCCCATTAATCAGACATTGCTGGTTGAATATGATTTTGTCGGATTAACGAGTATGTCGGATAAACAAAATTAAGTAGTATCAACATTCGTCGGTCATAGTTTGAAAAGTTCTTCTGATGTGACCTGTAACGGGATGTCCTTGGCGAAAACAAGAACTTGTATCTGATTTTGATGAGATTGAGGTAATCTAAGCATGTGATTAATCCTGTTTTCTTTATCTAAAGCATTAATTGTTTATTGTTTAGCCAAGTTTATCTCTGCAGCTTTGTAATATGGGGCCTGTAATATGCAGCTCCCAGCCGACTCGTCTCGCATCAAAACACTGGCTGGGTACTCGCGGTCAGATGACCAGTAGTACGCTGATCACTGTCGGAATAACAAGACTGATTAATGAGTGATTTCGGTAATTCGTTGCAAATTAGGTGTGTCATAGTTGGAGTGCGAGACTGTCGGATTAACGGGTCTAAATAGTACTGATTTAATCAGTTCCTATCATTAGTTTCGGATAAAACCGATTGTTGGATTAACGAGACTTGTCTGTATATACGACTTCTACGTCCATCACACATACGGGGATGTCTGAACCCAAGCTACAATGGCCAACCTTGTCTAGTTTCATCATCACAGACAACAACAAACTGCTAATCCAAGCAGGTCTAGCACAAAAACAGATGTTAAAGGACAAGTAAAGTGAAAAAAGGGATGGCGATATTTTTTTATTTGAATATTTGAATATCAATTTTCCAAGGTACATTTAGTCCATTTCTGAAAGAAAATTCATAATAATCTTGAAAATATTGTAAGGTCCAAGTGAAAGTGCTGAAATCACACGCTCCGTAATCGGCTTCCAAAACAGACCTATTTGGGGGCTTGGCCAAAAGCTACTGACACAGTCTATCTCAGCAATTATTCATATACTGTTTCTGTTACTTCTGTTAATCCTACAAAAATAACAACGTTGCAGACATTGTTGAATTTGAGAAAAGACTTTTGATCTTGACATTGTGAAAAATTAAAATAACCGTTAACAGTCGGTAATAGCGTTTTATAACTAACACCCTGTTTGGGTAATAAAACACCAGCTGCCCTAATAAATGCCTGTCAGGAATTAATACCCCGAGTAAACAACTGAAGGCATCTTTTGGTGTTGTTACTAAGGTGACATAAGTTGTTGACACGATAATCAAATGGATGAGCACACAGAAAAAAGACGGAAATTATTAAAAGGCCCGAGGCGATTGCATCCAGACTGGGTGGCTGCCTGATCGTCATGATCGTTGAAATAGCACAGCGCGTCAAACACTGGGAACCTGTTTTAACTTCAAGTAAGGTGATTCCCCTCAGTGATGGAATGTTTCATTTGGGGGACGATTTCGCAAATGTTTCATTCGGGGGACGATTAAGCCTGTCGTTTTTATCGTCTGTTTTACGCTGTAGCCACTTTTCAAATTCAATTTTGGTCAACCATGTGTGATTATGCCCTAAAGTATTAAAATCTGCAAAGTTGACTTTTCCTCCCCGTTAAGAGTATTGAACAGCCTCCTTTTCTAGCCATTGGATTTTGGTTTCAGAACTCGGCTTATACCCTAATATATACGGTTATGCTAGGACAGAATTTGCAGAAATATTGAAAAGGATGGTGATTATGTTTTTGTGCAGATGTGTTTGGCTAATATATCTGACCAAGTAAGCATCTTCCAACTGTATATATTTCTTCATTTCTACATGTGATCAGAGCTCCAGATAAGCTTTTGGTGTTGTGGGTATTTTACCCATGCATTTTAAAATCATTGGGTATCAGTAATTTTATCTGGGTATTCAAATTTCTGTTACCCACTAGTTTTTACACATGTGGGTATTTAAGTTAAATATTTAAAAACACTATTCATCTAGTCCCTGCAAACTGGTGTCGTGTGGGTTCGAGAGCTTTATAGGACTCAAAAATACAACGATACTTCCACAAGAAAGTGTGATGGCAAATGATCATGATGTAACTGTCATTGTGGAGTTTGGCAAGGTTGACGGAATGCCTGTTTAGAATTTCAAAATAAGTTGCTGATTTGCTAATCGAATACGCAGGGTTACTTCACAATATTTTGATGATACGCACACATCTTATTTTTGTAGTGTATCTGTAATGTTCGTTGCGTATTTGATACGCTTGGATTTTATTTTATTGTATATTTCTGCATTTCTGATGTGTATTTTACGCAGATACGCAGCTTATCTGGAGCTCTGTGTGTTGTGTGAATTGGGATGAAGCCCCTCTGGGAGTCTGGGGCTAGATGGAATGTGTTGTTACGCCCAAATGGTGTAGATAAGTGCTAGATGTTGGACTAGTGCTGACAGCATTGTGACAACAACATGCACTCACTCCATCACTGGAATATACAAACTATACATCTGCTTTATTTTAACATTTCAGACCACTATTGGAAGATACTAATATAGATGTCATCCTTTTCAGCAGACAAACATGAAGTAAATGATGAATATCACCTGTCTACTTCTCCTGTGTTCTATTCCAGAGTGATGGCGGTACCGGCAACTGTCATATATTTTACATGTTATGAACAACTCAAAGTCGCGTTCAAGTACCAAGATTCCAAGCCATCTGATTGGTGGATCCCAATGTTCTCAGGGGCTCTTGCAAGAGGTAAATGAAAAATCAGCCTTTCCTGTGACCATGGTAACCTGTCAGACCCTGATGTTTTGCTGCACATTGTGTGTTATGTTTTCTTATAGTCTCCCAGTATCGACTGTGTAGAGATTGGTAAAATAGGCTGGATATTTGAGCTGATATTAATAGCATTGTACTATCTCATGTAACAATGCTGCTTATTTAAAAACAACCCATGAGTTGTGAGGAGTCAACTAGTGCCTACAGTGACAAATGCCTTGTCTAAAACAACATTTATATGCTTCAGTGGTTTTACGTGTGATACCCTGTTACCTCTCTGCAGAGTTGAACTGGCCCATTTTAGTGTACTAATGCCTACAGTGACAAATGACAAATACTAGCAAACGATATTTAGTGGTTTTTCTTTATCCATACATTTCTTCTGATATTTCATACATCATACATCATCCATAGTTTCATTTATCATATTTCATTTACATTATGATTCAAACATTACATTCACACTACCATTTTATCACACATCTTACATTATCCATATATACATTTCATTCAGTTTCATTTATCATATTTCATGTACATTATATACATATCAGACTTACATTCATCATATATCATCTCATACATCATCCATATGTATCATTCATTTTCATTTCTCATATTTCATGTGTCACAGAGTTGCACAAACTAGTTGCTTTGTTAGCCCAGTTTAACAACACATCCAGCTGCATCAAGGAACTGGAGAGGAGCCCAGTTTAACAACACATCCAGCTGCATCAAGGAACTGGGGGAGACTTGATACCCAGTCGAAGCTGCTCCTGTAGCCTTTCTAGTCTCTGGTTGATCTCTAGGTAGATTCTCTTGCGGGGTGGTGGACGGGCGCCATGGAGATACTGAGCAAGCTTGTTTCTTTCTGACTTCTCTAGTCTCTGGATCACTTTGATGAAGGCAAAAATGTTCGGATGGGCTCTCTGGACGACCTTGTTTAGATGACAATGCCACCCTTCTAGATGATTGTTTGTTCTGGGGCCAATGTTGTTGTGATGATTCCACAATCCCAACCGAAACTGAGCATGGTCATCAATCCAATTTGTGACATGATACTGTACCTTCTTCGGGTTTGCCATGTCTAGATCTCTAACATGCCAATCTTGCTAACTATATTTTATACTGGAAAATTTCCTTCTCAAAGTTTATCATCAATTACTTTAAAACATTATTCTTCTACTCTCATTTTCCAGTAAATCCATGTTTTAGTCTGTTTTCAGTCGTACAAATGGGTATCTCATACCTCTAGTCGCACGTTAAAAGGAATCCAGAAGCTGGAATGTAAACAATAAACTTGTTTCCGTCCGGTTGCGCACGCACCTCCCTATGACATGTCACAAAATCTCTCAGCGCGCCTCTGAGCTGGTCGCTCGAGAAGGACTTTCGCGATAGACTGCTAGTTTGTATTCTACTAGTACTTATCGTGTGTCTACAGTTGTTGTTCTAATACAGTAATAATAATATGTCTTACCTGTAGACTCCTGGAATGTAATCCTTGGTAATCCATTGTTTGTGTTCAACACGTGTTTCACGGTTCACGTGTTTCTTTGTAAAGAATGTGATCACTTTAATAAAATTTAATTGGTATCATCGTGCGTTGGCGAAGCGGGTTTTGACCAGCGCCACAAGCTGAGTAGGTCATCGGGTGGATCCCTGGACTCTGCAGCCTCTACATCTGGCCCTGGGGGTGGCGCGTCGGCCACACCCAAGGAATCAGTTGATAAAGACCCGCCCCAGTCAACTTATGTTTTTGACAAGACACGTGACTCTTCGCCTGCTGATGATACTACCTGCACGACAGATCTTCGTCAATTGGTTGATCGAGAGCGTCACTCAGCCACCCCCGTTACGACGGGACCGGCTCGTGACGAGGACCATGAGGGGACTACGGTCCCCAGTCGGTCCGTCTCTCCTCGTACCAACGAGAATAGGGACGTCGTGCAGGTCGACAGTGAACACAGATCCCACTCTACAAGTCGTTCCGGCCCCGGGACAACAGGTCGAGTGCCTCGTTGAGAGACAGTAAACAACACGAGGACGTTCGTCGCCTTCGAGGTCGTCGGGAGTTCGATTCGGACTATAACTACGATGGGGATCGTAGTACTACTACAGTTAGAGATCGTAGCCCTCGTCCCCATGGGGACGTGCGACGCTCTCGGAGAGAGCTTTTGGGAGATCAGCGTCGTAGAGATAATGATCGATCGTCACCCTCGTCTCACTTTCATATCGACCCGGCATTGATTGGCCAGATCGTGGCGGCGGTACGCGCCTCGGCTCGGACAACTAGCCAACGCCCTGTCGAGACCATCGAGGCCGTCTCCCATGGAGTGGATGATCCATCCGACAGTCTTTTCATCTGCTGACAGATCGACTGGTTGCCTCAAGTAGATCTCTTCGCAAACCGGTACACCAACCGCCTTCCTCGATTCGTGTCGTCGGTTCCAGACCCACGGGCATCGGACCACGACGCTCTAGCGATATCGTGTGAGGGTCTAGACGCTTACGCGTTTCCGCCAGCGGCGCTATTACCATCAATACTGGAGACAGTTCGTCAAACGGCCAACCTACGTCTGCTTTGCTCGCGACTTATTGGCCGTCCAGAACGTGGTTTACCGGAACATCTCCCGATCATCGATCAGCCACTGTTCCCGTTGCCAGATCACATTCATTCCGACTGCCGGCCTGGGACCTCGATATTGTTCTGCGCAACCTGCCTAGTTAGACTTACAAGCCTCTCGATCAGGTCGCGTTTGACATTGTCTCATAGAACGGTTTTCCTTCTCTCGCTGGCTACGGCAGCAAGAGTATCGGAACTACATGCCATTGACGTCGATCGGATTACGTTCGATCAGTGTAACCATGGCAACGTCCATCTTGGTCTCAGATGGGATTTTTTTAAAGCGAAAAATCAACTTCCTGGCCTAGATTCGAGAATGTTCCACATTCCTTCCTTGTCTGCCATTATGGGCCCTCATGATCACGCTGTTCTCACCTTGTGCCCAGTTCGTGTGCTTCGTATTTACCTGCAGCGTTCTGAACAGCGACAACACCATTTTCGACGGCTGTTCATACCGCTCTCAACCAATGCAAAGAAAGAGATTACACATAATACTCTCTCCTTTTGGTTGAGAGCGGTCATTCTCAGAGCTTAAGTGGCGCAAGGACTCGCACCTCTCACCTCCTCTCCTCTGCACGAAGTTCGAGCCATAGCTTCAACATGAGCACACAGTTTGGTCCACTCGTAGTGGCACAACAGATCTCCCAGAAAAGACAGTGAATTATTTATTCACTTTGGACTTTTTGCTTGACACTTCGTGCCAGAAAACAGGTTACAATAAAAACTGTTGGTGAATGTACGCATTCTTATGGTTTATGTTGCATGCAGTACTTCGGCTGTTTATTATGGTTATTCGGTGTATGCATCGTCTTCCCATACTTTATAGTACTGCTCGTATTTTTTAGTTACCTTGTATACTGCGAGTTGCTCTGTAACTAAATTATGCGCCGACCACACTTTGATCGCAATTCAACCGACGTGTGCAGTTGTCCTGTTGCATCAAAAATTAGTTGTGGGTCAAAGAGCATTAAACATGCTGTTTTAGTTACCTTGTATACTGCGAGTTGCTCTGTAACTAAACTATACGTCGACCACTTCGATCGCAGTTCAACTGACGTGTGCAGTTGTCCTGTCGCATCGATAATTAGTTGTGTGTCGATGAGCATTAACCATGCTGTTTTAGTTACCTTGTATACTGCGAGTTGCTTTGTAACTAAACTATACGTCGACCATTTCGATCGCAGTTCAACTGACGTGTGCAGTTGTCCTGTCGCATCGATACTTACTTGTGGGTCAAAGAGCATTAAACATGCTGTTTTAGTTACCTTGTATACTGCGAGTTGCTCTGTAACTAAACTATACGTCGACCACTTCGATCGCAGTTCAACTGACGTGTGCAGTTGTCCTGTCGCATCGATAATTAGTTGTGTGTCGATGAGCATTAACCATGCTGTTTAAGTTACCTTGTATACTGCGAGTTGCTTTGTAACTAAACTATACGTCGACCATTTCGATCGCAGTTCAACTGACTTGTGCAGTTGTCCTGTCGCATCAATAATTAGTTATGTGTCGAAGAGCATTAAACATGCTATTTTTAGTTACCTTGGATACGACGAGTCGTTCTGTAACTACATTATCTGCCGACCACACTTCGATCGCAATTCTACTGTCGTGTGCAGTTGTCCTGTCGCATCAATAATTAGTTGTGTGTCGAAGAGCATTAACCATGCGATTTTTAGTTACCTTTGATACGAGTCGTTCTGTAACTACATTACAAGCCGACCACACTTCGTTGCAATTCAACTGACGTGTGCAGTTGTCCTGTCGCATCGATACTTACTTGTAGGTCGAAGAGCATTAAACATGCTGTTTTAGTTACCTTGTATACTGCGAGTTGCTCTGTAACTAAACTATACGTCGACCACATTTCGATCGCAATTCAACTGACGTGTGCAGTTGTCTTGTCGCATCGATACTTACTTGTGGGTCAAAGAGCATTAACCATGCTGTTTTAGTTACCTTGTATACTGCGAGTTGCTTTGTAACTAAACTATACGTCGACCACACTTCGATTGCAATTCAACTGACGTGTGCAGTTGTCTTGTCGCATCGATACTTACTTGTGAGCGAAGTGCATTAAACATGCTGTTTTAGTTACCTTGTATACTGCGAGTTGCTCTGTAACTAAACTATACGTCGACCACAATTCGATCGCGTGCAGTTGTCCTGTCGCATCGATAATTAGTTGTGTGTCGATGAGCATTAACCATGCTGTGCGTTCGTGATAAACAATTTGTCTCGTCCGTGCATCTGGTTGAATGTTCTATTGTCACTACAGGGGTGAGGAACTTGGTACATTCGACATGAAAGAGGTCACTTCCTGATTACTTTCCCGACCCTCCTTCCAGTGTTCCGTCGAATTCTACCCACTTGTACGACTGAAAACAGACTAAAACATGGATTTTTCAGATTAAAAACGATGTTTTATTGGTCTGTTTTCAGTTGTACGTTCCCACCCAGCCATCCCCACTGGAAAGTAATCCAGTCCAGTCCTGCTTGATGGCTTATTCTTTGAGATTTGTGACATGTCATAGGGAGGTGCATGTGCAACCGGACGGAAACAAGTTTATTGTTTACATTCCAGCTTCTGGCTTCCTTTTAATGTGTGACTAGAGGTATGAGATACCCATTTGTACGACTGAAAACAGACCAATAAAACATCATTTTTAATCTGAAAAACCCATATTTCCTGCTCCAGTTATCAAAGTACAATACCATCTAAGAAAATAAATTTATACAAAGGTCAAATATTTTCACAATCCCAGTAACATTTCTGAGGCATTAATTAGTCTGTGTTTACAGTGTAGGCATTAGTGAACACTAAGTAGAGTAGACCACTTGAGTGCAGGGGTGCGTGAAACATTGTGTACACTAAAACAACAACTTTATTAGGCATTTGTTACTGTAGGCATTAGTCACTGTAGGCATTTGTCACTGTAGGCATTTGTCACTGTAGGCATTAGTCACTGTAGGCATTTGTCACTGTAGGCATTAGTCACTGTAGGCATTTGTCACTGTAGGCATTAGTAGACCTAACAGAGTTAACGTAGTTCAAACAAACAGAACGGATTATGAGTTTTATGCAAGTTTATAAGGGTCAGATCCCACTGTATTTGGTTTTGTATTTTTTTTCTAAGCGCAATCTAATTCACAAGAGTTGACAAACTTTTGCTCCATGAAGAGTGTGTGATCCAGTTGAGCTAGCTCATGTATAACTGAATGTTTCAGTGTGGGCCGTGTCCTTGATATCGCCGCTAGAACTCATCCGAACCAAGATGCAGGCTGAGCAGCTAACGTACAGTCAGATCACCAAGTCTATGAGAAGAGCTGTCCAGGCAGATGGAGTTCTCTCCCTTTGGAGAGGCCTTGGTCCAACACTGTTACGAGATGTGCCTTTCTCAGGTGAGATATCTTAAGGTCTATTCATTTCCTAAGTTGACCCTTTTTTTATTTCATGGTTACTGGTAGGGCAAGGCATGGTTGCCCTTTTCGCAAATGCCTGGCGTCAACACCAGTTTTCGGTGATCCATCCATATGGTTTTCACCTCTGTTTTGCCTTTTGCGCCCAATGGAATCTGTCTCAGCAGATAAGTGAGACTGGTTATTCTCTGGCACTGATGTTTTATGTTTATGGATTTTTGCAGAACAATTAGAATTATTTAATGTAAATGTTAATACTATGAAGATCTGGATGAGTAGTGTTATTATCATGATTATAGTCAGTTGTATATTTATTATCTACCTGTATCATTTTATTTTTATTTTGGATCGAAGATGAAATGATCCTAAAAATATGAATACATCTAATCTATTTCACAGCCCCCTGAAACAAGACTGAGTTGATTTCAAAATTGAAACACTGGTACATGAGTTGTGAAATCAGTTAATGACCAAACAAGATCAGTGAATACTCAATAAAACAGTTTAACAATTACAATCAAACAGGCAAAAAGGGTCAAATTGGTGGATTCAGCAATATATAACAGACCCTAGAATTAATGTTAGTGCACTCATGAACGTTCAGAGTATTGTTACTGTTGATTGTCTTGAAAGAGGCCCATCCCTGAGCTTGAATTCAGAATACTGTTGGAAGCTTGGAGAAATTTGGGGTTTACAAATAATTATCCAAAGTGCATTTGGCAAGTAGATAAGATGCAGGTCAGATAGATAAGGCCTTGAATCTCCCCCGTGGCGCTTTGATATTGGTACAGCCAGCTTCAGAAACTGTTCCACCTTGATACTACTCTAACGATCAAACCTGTGATGTTCATGTAATAAACAAGGGGCAGATATATCAAACTGGAAGCAGTTTAAGCCGGCCTCAACAGAACTTGATGTTTTTTACTAGTATGTCAATATTTTGCTGCCTCTGACAATTACTACAGATATATTTACACTAAACTATGTAGACATAACACATGGACATCGTTTGGCACATGTCATGAAGAAGTCAAAGGTCAAGGTCAAGGGTTAGCAAAAACAACTGACAAGATAAGTCAAAGGTCAATGTCACTGTTCAGCATGGCTATTCATTGCCACTGTGGCAAAGTTACCTCTACCTGTCTTCAGGCATGGAACTTTATACTTACTTGTATCACAGCAAATCCTACCACCTCAAATGTCAACTACATTTATGTCCAAGGTCAAGGTCTTCTTTGAGGTAATTGTCAAAAGTAGTTGTTTCTGTATATCTTCTTTCGAGAAAATGAAGGTAACAGGGCCAGAGCTCCAGATAAGGTGCGTATCTGCGTAAAATACGCATCAGAAATGCAGAAATACGCAGTAAAATAAAATCCAAGCGTATCAAATACGCAACGAACATTACAGATACGCTACAAAAATAAAACTTGTACGTATCATCAAAATATTGTGAAGTAACCCTGCGTATTCAATTAGCAAATCAGCAACTTATTTTGAAATTTTGAACCTTGCCAAACTCCACGATGGCTAGTTACATCATGATCATTTGCCATCATACTTTCTTGTGGAAGTATTGTGGTATTTTTGAGTCCTTAAAGCTCTCGATCCCACACGAAACCAGCAGGGCCTTGATGAATAGTGATTTTAAATATTTAACTTAAATACCCACATGTGTAAAAACTAGTGGGTAACAGAAATTTGAATACCCAGATAAAATTACTGATACCCAATGATTTTTAAATGCATGGGTAAAATACCCACAACACCAAAAGCTTATCTGGAGCTCTGAGGGCAGATTTTGTTTTTTGCAAATAACTTTAAACATGCCTTTAACATATTATTTTTCCTATTTTTGGTCTTTGGTCTAATCTGTAAATCAAGTAGGAATGCAGAATTATATGATAGTCTTTGTTCTTGTGCAGGTTCAACTAAACACTGTGCAAGAAAACATTTTGTGACAGCTTATATACATGGAAATCTGTCATTTTGGTTGTTTTTGACGGTATGTTATGTCCTTTGTCTGTGAGCACACCTTGACCTGACTGAAATACTGTGCTATCCAGTATCACTTGAGTGTAGCTTGTAGATTGTGTACAGTACACCCACGGTACTGGTTGATGAGAGAAGCTAGACTTTCATCTGGTCTGTATTTCAGCACTGTACTGGTTTTCCTACGAGAACTTGAAGTCCTACGTATTGTTGACGCGTGGTTCGACAGATCTGAGGTTTTCCGAGAGCTTTCTAACAGGAGCGACAGCCGGAACAGTGAGTAGACTGAGTTCAGTTAGTGAGTGTCTGAGAGAGTTCATGTATTGCAACTGACCAACCATGCATGGAGATAGTAGCATTCAAAACCTCCCCCTGCATGAAATATTGCTGGCCTTGGTATAATGTGCAACTTGAAAGTCTAGACACTGATGACGTTCCACACGAATTGTATCATTTCATCCAATGCCCCACACATGACAGTGACATGTTTTAGTGTTTAAAGTGTTATGCTGTACACGTCTTTATTCCCCACATGCGTGCTATGAGTCCAATCCTGAGCCCATTTCTGGCATTGCTGAACTTTCATAGTTTTCAAAGCATACCTACTCACTCACTCCACAGTTGACAGCTGGATTAGAAGAATTAGAAAATAAGCAACAAGCTATAAGAAATTATTTATTATCTGTCCTGAGTGAATGATTGGTGTACCGTATTTTCTTGAGTATAGTGCGCACCCATGTATAATGCGCACCCCCCTCTAGCGGGTTCAATATTTTGGAAAAAAAGAAATTTGAATATTATGCGCAGAAATTTTTTACACCGTACCCTTTCAGCAAAGTCCGGCAAACGAACGGGTGCTGAGAAACTTCGTCAGTACAAATTCGAAATTTGAGATAAAAAATCACCAGACATGTTTATTTACCGTTTAAATAGTATTTATTGTTCTGCTAGGCATTGTTTTAAATTTAGGGATTAAGATTACCTTGCGTATTTTCTCGTAAACTAAGCTGGAAACAGCAATCAGCTGTACACACGTTTTCTTGGAATCGACCGGTGATTCGGTCAAGACACACCCAATGATATAACTTTATAAGATTTTTTAATGCAAGGATCGGCAACAATTGTATCTGAAACTATTTTATTTATCAGGAATAATATATTCCATTATTTTCTTAATTATATGCAACCTTTACTAAACATATTTAAAATAATAATAACCCTAAGCGAAGCAGCTGATCGCTATTCCCGGGTATTATTTTTTACATGGAACATGTCTGACCAGTCACCGTCAAGGCTCACGCGCACGTGATCACATGATCGCGAGAATTTCATGTTGACATAGAATCGTCAAACAAAAACAAATATGACTTTTAACGAGTCAAAGTATGTCATTTATGATATATGTATCCATTCTCTGTCAACTAAAGTTTGTTTCAAGGCGTCAATAGCGGTATTCTGACCATGGTTGCTGTTAATAACGGTGAGTTGTGCGATCTTCCGATCGCTTCACACACGATTTCGCCGAAATTAATAAAAACAATATTATAAGGAATTTTGAATAAAATCAATGAAATAAGTTACAAACATAAGTCCAGATATACAAAGAACACTTTTTATAGCCAGACATGATTATTTTGCGTACTTCAGTGTGGATTTGTTGACATGGTATTTCTGGTGTTTCGTGCTCACGGTAATGTCTTTCCATGGGGAAAAAACATCCAAACTCATAATTCGTGTATAATGCGCACCCCCTTCTAGACAGCTGTGTTTTTTCGAAAAAAAGTGCGCACTATACTCAAGAAAATACGGTAATCCCTGAGCATTTGGCAAGGATTGTCTTGTCATTATTGAGTGCACAGGTGGCCCAGTCGTCTAAGGCGCAGCGATTCACTGTGCAGAGTTGTGTCCCTTGGGCACGCCAGAAACCTATGATTGTGGGTTCGAATCCCGGGTCGCCCCGATTATGTTTCTAGGTTTGTCAGCACCATACCCGTGCTCGTGGGTTTCACTGGAGTGGTTAACGTCTGAGACCTGCATCACTTCAGGCTTTCCTCCCACATTAAGCTGACACGCCGCAATAAAACTGGAATACTGTTAAAAGCGGCGTTAAACCCAACTCACTCTCACTTGTCATTAATTCACTAGGGACAGATAATCTTTTATTCTGAGTTTCTTGAAGGCTATTCTATATTTTACTTTTGGTCAGTTTGAGACAGTTAACAGTGAAGCAGTGTGATGTCATGAACAGTGGATGAGGTTAGATTGTGATGTTCTCAACACTGAAGTGGGGCGGTGGGGTAGCCTTGTGGTTAAAGCGGTTGCTCGTCACTCCAAAGACCTGGGTTCCATTCCCCACATGGCTACAATGTGTCCCCTGCTGTGTTATTGCTGGAATATTGCTAAAAGCGCTGTACAACAATACTCACTCAACAGTGAAACAATTGACATCATATTGTTTCAACTAACCAGTATACCCGTGAAGATCCGGGCTAGAATAGGTCTTCAGCAACCCATGCTTGCCGTAAAAGGCGACTATGCTTGTCATAAAAGGCGACTAACGGGATCGGGTGGTCAGGCTCGCTGACTTGGTTGATGCATGTCATCGATCCCAATTGCGTGGATCGATGTTCATGATGTAAATCACTGGATTGTCTGGTCCAGACTCGATTATTTACAGACTGCTGTAAAATATCTGGAATATTGCTGAGTGCGACGTAAAACAACAAACCAAACCAAAACCAAAAATCAACTAACCAGTCAGCATTTACAATTGCTAAAATGCACATCTGCAAGTATTGGAATGTTACTATACCTGATGTTTCTACTCTTAATATTGAAACCTATCTCCCATGCACTTTCCGTTGTCCTGTCCGTGTACAGCGTGATGTAAAGGGGACCTAGGGACCTGGGCCCACTTGCACAAACCGATCTTAGCGCTAAGACTATCGTAAGCCTATGTTGAAGAATGGGAGTTACGATCATCTTAGCGCTAAGATCGCTTTGTACAAGTGGACCCTGGTGGTTTGTACTCTACAGAGGAGTAGCAAGGAGGGGCTGTACTCCAGGCCCAAGTCACATCCTGAACCAAAAAAATATTATAAGTTCTGTATGTTAGTTGAGGAGCAAATGATTGAGAGAAGTGCATTAATGGATTCATGGATAGTTTAAAGATGTTGTGCACTTGGGCATGCAAGGTAACAGTGTATTTTTGTCATAGTAAGGGAACACTTTGGTGCTATTCACATTGTTCACGTGCTGTTCAAGCTGCACAGTGAACACACGCCAGCGTACAGATAGCCCCAATCACTGCTTGCGGTCCTCAGATTGCTGCTGTGTTAACGCTGCCGTTTGATGTGATCAAGACCCACCGCCAGCTGGAGTTCGGGGAGATGATGACACACACAGGGAGTCACAGTAAGTCTGACTGCCATCATATAGCCTTTGTTTCAGGGTAACTGACCTATTTTCCCTAGTTTCTAAAGTCAGATAAATTGCTCACACAATATTAATGAACTTTGAAATCTGATTTTCAGATTTGTTTAGCAAGTGTTAGCTTTTCAATTTGATTGTTTTACATGTTCAGAGTTTACGAACTAGGACAAAGTATGGAAGGTATGTAGGACAAACTCAGAAGAAAGTATTGAAGGTATGTAGGACAAACTCAGGACAAAGTATGGAAGGTATGTGTGTCATGTTGCAGGGAAGAGGCAGGTCAGCTCCACTTGGCTGCTGATAGTCCGACTGTATCGACAACAGGGCATCAATTCATTATTCACAGGTGAGCTGGAACACAAGTTGGTCAACATTTGAGGTTGTGTGTTTGTGACAGGAGGTGTGGCATTGTTGTCCCTAAATTTGAAGCTTGGTGGGGGCACGTTGGGCACGCCAGAAACCTATGATTGTGGGTTCGAATCCCGGTTCGCCCCGATTATGTTTCTAGGTTTGCCAGCACCATACCTGTGCGCGTGGGTTTCACCGAAGTGGTAAACGTCCGAGACCTGCATCACTTCGGGCTGTCCTCCCACATTAAGTTGACACGCCGCGATATAACTGGAATACTGTTAAAAGCGGCGTTAAGCCCAACTCACTCACTCACTTTGAAGCTTGGTGATGGGCCACTGAAATATACTTATTGCTGTTTGCATTATGCCAGAAGCGACAGTTAAATAAACAATCTGATGATGACTATCAATAATGTTAATAATGAAATATGTTGAGTGTTAATTGTCCTATTACACCCATTCTACATTTTATTCTTCAATTACATGGTTATTGGAATTTAATTTTTAATAATAGATAATTTGTTTGTGCAAAAATATTTTCTTAAAATGATCTTTTATCACCAAGCTGCGGTGAGGGAACTTGTAATAAGTTATATAATAACTATATATAATAACTTCTTGATGTTCTCGTAGTGTGTCAGTATTGAGCGTACATTCGTTCTGCTTTCTCATTTTAGTATTTATTTGGTTCATGGAATGTTTTTCAATAACTGTGATGTTGTTATGACAAGTTAAAGAGTTACCTCCCTTCCATTATGGTGGTGGAGGTTACTTTTTGTTTCTGAAATATGTCACAGACAATAGCGTCTGATGGAGTCCCCAATATTAACACACAACAGACATGTAATCGTTTGTCTTAGCATCTAAGTTATAGTACCTTTTCTCTTCCCTGTCTGTGACATGCCTGTTAGAGCAATAGTTACTTTCCCTGGTGAGGTACTCTAGTCTTTGATGTAGGATCGAACCATCTAAACCCAGTGTTTGAAATAATTTTAGAACCCAAAGTGTTGTCTGCCCATCTTCAAAGTTACCTGCCTGCATTCATGCATAATAAATATTGAAAAATCGCACAAACTAATCACATCTTGATTCAGTTGAAATAATGCATACAATTACTTGAGAGTGTACAAGGAGTTGTAATGATACTGACTACATAAGAAGTCTTAAAATAATCGGGCAGGTGGGGGAAATTTTCATGCAGCCCGACAGGAAAGTGACCAGCCACGGCTGGGCAGTCATTTCAGGTACTGTCTAAACCTCATGTGTACAGACTACTTATGGTTTGGTTTTGCCCCAATTAGCTGAAATTGTGGCTTGAAATAGTCCAAGTAAATGATAAGAACAAAAATGTTGAGTTATCTTTGTTATGGTAAACCAGTAGTTCAAACTTACAATGTTCCATGTAAACAATAACATTTTCAAATCATCGTTGCAACGGGATTACATATATGAGGACAGTATTGCTGACAGTATTCAACGGTTCTGTTATTGAAATTGTAGAAAGTATCCAATGATATTGTGGAATACATGTGAAATGACTAGACAGCCTAAACATGTTATATATTTCCCTGCTCCAGAATCTTAGCCCCACAACATAATCAAGGGTGTTTGTTTTTCCTATTCTGGACATTTTTAAAACAAAATTTCTTAAGTGGATACCTGCTCACAAACAGGCATGTATTGGTCACAAATTTAGTAAAATGATTTTTACACCAATCCTGCATGTATTTGATATGGGTTCTGGAAAATATATGTCCACATGACTGAATTATTCCAAAGGAATTGAGAATTTAAAGCATGTGTGAAAGTTTAATATTCTTAGTAACTTATGTGTGACTGAATCATAGCTGTGACCCTCCTCTATTAATATGCTAAATTGTTGGACCACTATTTTGAAAAAGGAGAACAGAGAGATGAAATGTAAGTGGGCTGTATTTTGTTGAGCTTCTCAACTGATGCCTGATACAGGATGACATTCTGTGTTGCAGGTATAGTGCCCCGGATATCCAAGGTGGCTCCGGCCTGTGCCATCATGATCAGTTCCTATGAATACTTCAAACTATTTTTCCGGAATCGGAATGATGAGACCGTGAAGAGTCTCTCCAGGAACTGACGATGCCGGATTGCCAGCCACAAGTGTCTTCCACATTCTAGAATACATGCAGATGGTGTGAAGTGATGTAGCATGGATAGATGGACAAGTTGGATGGTTAGGCGGTGGACTTGTTGGATGGATGGATGGACAAGTTGGATGGATAGGAGGTGGACTTGGTAGATGGATGGATGGACAAGTTGGATGGATAGGAGGTGGACTTGGTAGATGGATGGATGGACAAGTTGGATGGATAGGCGGTGGACTTGTTGGATGGATGGACAAGTTGGATGGATAGGCGGTGGACTTGTTGGATGGATGGACAAGTTGGATGGATAGGAGGTGGACTTGGTAGATGGATGGATGGACAAGTTGGATGGATAGGCGGTGGACTTGGTAGATGGATGGATGGACAAGTTGGATGGATAGGAGGTGGACTTGGTAGATGGATGGATGGACAAGTTGGATGGATAGGCGGTGGACTTGGTAGATGGATGGATGGACAAGTTGGATGGATAGGCGGTGGACTTGGTAGATGGATGGATGGACAAGTTGGATGGATAGGCGGTGGACTTGGTAGATGGATGGATGGACAAGTTGGATGGATAGGCGGTGGACTTGGTAGATGGATGGACAAGTTGGATGGATAGGAGGTGGACTTGTTGGATGGATGGATGGACAAGTTGGATGGATAGGCGGTGGACTTGTTGGATGGATGGACAAGTTGGATGGATAGGAGGTGGACTTGTTGGATGGATGGATGGACAAGTTGGATGGATAGGCGGTGGACTTGGTAGATGGATGGATGGACAAGTTGGATGGATAGGCGGTGGACTTGTTGGATGGATGGACAAGTTGGATGGATAGGAGGTGGACTTGTTGGATGGATGGATGGACAAGTTGGATGGATAGGCGGTGGACTTGTTGGATGGATGGACAAGTTGGATGGATAGGCGGTGGACTTGGTAGATGGATGGATGGACAAGTTGGATGGATAGGCGGTGGACTTGTTGGATGGATGGATGGACAAGTTGGATGGATAGGCGGTGGACTTGTTGGATGGATGGACAAGTTGGATGGATAGGAGGTGGACTTGGTAGATGGATGGATGGACAAGTTGGATGGATAGGCGGTGGACTTGTTGGATGGATGGACAAGTTGGATGGATAGGAGGTGGACTTGGTAGATGGATGGACAAGTTGGATGGATAGGAGGTGGACTTGGTAGATGGATGGACAAGTTGGATGGATAGGAGGTGGACTTGGTAGATGGATGGACAAGTTGGATGGATAGGAGGTGGACTTGGTAGATGGATGGACAAGTTGGATGGATAGGAGGTGGACTTGGTAGATGGATGGATGGACAAGTTGGATGGATAGGCGGTGGACTTGTTGGATGGATGGACAAGTTGGATGGATAGGAGGTGGACTTGGTAGATGGATGGACAAGTTGGATGGATAGGAGGTGGACTTGGTAGATGGATGGACAAGTTGGATGGATAGGAGGTGGACTTGGTAGATGGATGGACAAGTTGGATGGATAGGAGGTGGACTTGGTAGATGGATGGACAAGTTGGATGGATAGGAGGTGGACTTGGTAGATGGATGGATGGACAAGTTGGATGGATAGGAGGTGGACTTGGTAGATGGATGGATGGACAAGTTGGATGGATAGGAGGTGGACATATATGAGGAGAAATATGATTGTAGTGATTTCCGAAAGAAATCAACATATTCAACATCGCTTTTGAGTGGTGACACAATTATGCATGTATTACTTAGTGGACAATTAAAATGAAACAAAAACAGCTGCTTTCTGTCTTCTGCAATTGACAATAACAAGTCTGTTTCATTTAAATTTTATTTCATCACGATAGTCTATGTAATATATATATATATGACACAGTTTTCATATCAATGATTGTTAATGTCTTCCCATCAATCTTTTTAGACAGCCCTAATCATGCTAATTGAAATAGAAAATCAGGCTATCATGGCTGAAGTATTTTTAATGTTTTTGAAAAAGATTGTCTCAAATGATGTTGCTTGTGTAATGAGAAATACAAGTTGTGTAAGAAACCTCCCTCACTTTTGGCTTCCCTCCTATATGTAAGGGGCGGTCGGGTAGCCTAGTGGTTAAAGCGTTCGCTCATCACGCAGAAGAACCGGGTTCGATTCCCGACATTGGTACAATGTGTGAAGCCCATTTCTGGTGTCCCCCGCCGTGATATTGCTGGAATATTGCTAAAAGCGGTGAAACCCGTACTCACTCACTCACTCACTCCTATATGTTACATTCACATGCCATGATGTGACTTTCCTACATTTCAAAGTGCTGTTAAAAATTAAACCCATCACTCACTCAGTCTTTAGGGGGAAATGTGACATTGTGTGTTTGCATGAGAGTTTCAGGGTGTGTGGATAATACCTGAGGATTCCATGATGTATGTTTTTGTTCACAAGGTAGCATCTTCCCGAGGCAAGGGCGTTAACCGACTATAAAAGTCCAGTTTCCACCCTTGCCAAACTAGGCTGGAATTTCCAGGCTCGTTCGCAGCAAAACCAGTGATTATTACCAGTAATGTCCCTTCCATGTCCCTCCTATTGACCAATCAGATTCCACCTCTCATGTTACTTGCATTTGCTTCAAACAAATTGATGGCACCCAGTCAAGACAATCTGATCGATAATAAAGATCTATATTGTATTAAAACGAGTCTTATGTGAAGTGCATCAAGTCACTTGAGCACCTTGATTAAAAACATGAAAAGATTTGCTAAATATCTGTGTTGACACCCACTGGTCACTACACATGCTTTGCAAATCTTTCAGTCGACCAGAATCTGCATGTTGAAATCCATGTTGTTTACGAACTGGATGTCTAGTTTGTAGCACGATTTTGATTGGACAATGCATAGACTCGTTAGTCCAGCCAAAATGTAACCCTGGAATTCCAGCCTAGTTCGGCAAGGGTGGATACAGTCAGTTAACTCCCTTGCCACGGGAAGATGACAAGGTAGTGGTGTCAGTGCTCCGTCTGTTGTCTGTTGAAGGAGGAGTCACTGATGCTGTGTATGTAATATCTCAACACCACACTAAGGATGGTCTGATTTGGTGGTAACAGTTGTCCTGTCCGGTGTTTTCTCATGGCTCACTAGTTTGGAGTCTTGAATATTTTGTGATTATGTACATTATAAAGTATCTAAAATATTGTTCTCACATATTTTGCCTGAACTGAGACAAGAATAAATGTCATTAGTAAACTTATGTTTAGTTAAGGGATGGACTATGAAATGTACTTGATGGGAAGGATCAGGTTTTGCTTAATTTTAAAACCTGAGGCAAAAATGATGTTTTTCCTGTATTCTCTGGAACAAATGATTATGTATGAAAAATCCCATTTTTAGAGGCTGCCTTCATGTGGCTGTAATTTTGCCGAGTGCTGCTTTTTGGGATTCGATTCTTCCTTGTAATTCTTCCTGGAGTCTGAGAAACATTAGTCAGGGTAATGTTGATATTTTTGTATGTAGTCCTTTACGTTGTATAAATGTGTTCAATTTAATACAATCATACCCTATTATCAGTTTTGTGCAATTCTATTATGTTGCTGTGCTTGTAAGAACTGTTGAAGTGTTACCAAGTAACTAGTGTCTTCTTTATAACACGTGTTATTTTAGTTTTGTTGACTGCATGCGTCTATACCCATGTAACAATATAAATGCTTGTGTGAGAGCTATGAGCTTTCTTTGTATTGATCCAGTTGGTGTCTGGAAAATGTGTTAACTCATCAGAAATCAAACGTGTTACGTCATATGTTACTCATGCTAATTGAATCACAATAGAAATGAAACATTCAGACAATACTACAAGCCCGTGGGAATAGCAGTTAAAACACATCTGTGACGTCATTCTATTGTTTGAACGCTCCATTATTTTTCAGGAATTGAGAGTTGCTTATCAAACAGCATTTGAATTTTTCAAATATTTTCAACTACAGAATATTTTGTCAAAGTGTAAAAGTAGGGATGAGTTTTAAGTAGGGGAATATCCTCGTAACTCTCCATTCCTTAAAAATAATGGGCCTCTGCTCCTGCGGGGCCTCTGCTCCATTTTTTTTAAGGAATGGAGAGTTACTCGGACATTCCCTCTACTTAATACTATGACACTCTTATACTAACCCCTGCTTGCTGGATGGTAGAGTGTCACATGTAAACCGGGGTCACAGGTGGCCCAGTCCTCTAAGGCGCCGCGATTCGCTGTGCAGAGTTGCGTCCCTTGCCTATGATTGTGGGTTCGAATCCTGGTTCGCCCCGAATTAAGTTTCTAGGATTGTCACCACCATACCCGTGCTCGTTGGTTTCACCGAAGTGGTAAACGTCTGAGACCTGCATCACTTCGGGCTTTCCTCCCACATTTAGCTGACACACCGCGATATAACTGGAATACTGTTAAAAGCGGCGTTGAACCCAACTCACTCACATGTAAACCCTGGCATGATATACTGATGATAATATAGTTGTTCGAGAGTATTTGAGAAAAAAGTTCAGAGTTATGAAGTTTTGTCACTGAGACTGGCTAATTTTCACCCTATTGTTAAAACGAGTATCGGGAAGTACTTCTAAACTTTCAAACCAACGAGATGGGTGAAGTAATTTTTTTTCATGTTCTTCTGTTCTGATTATATGAGTGCTTCCAGCAGAGCTTGTTGTGCACTCTGGTCCTCTTTGTGATATTGGTATAATTTGTGGTGATGATGATGGCATAACTGTGACACATCATCTCTCAAATACGTCCTAGCAAGGCATTGAGACTGACCAGTGACTAGCCGTGGGCTGCTGGTTGATTGAAGGACTATTCACTATCACGTATCTGTCTGTCAACTAAACAGAGGCGGTCGGTAAGCCTAGTGGTTAAAGCGTTCGCTCGTCACGCCGAAGACCCGGGTTCGATTCCCGACATGGGTACAATGTGTGAAGCACATTTCCGGTGTCCCCTGCCATGATATTGCTGGAATATTGCTAAAAGCGGCGTAAAACCTTACTCACTCACTCCCTGTCAACTAAACAACAAAAGACTGTTCATATCATTACATGTATATTGTGAATTTTAGAACCATGTAAACTCTATGATTTAAAGTGTAGATTTATTAATTTCAGTTTAAGATGAACCAAAAAGATTTTGTAAGATGCTTTTTTTATATTTACAAATTCAAAACTTATAGTCAGAATTTTCTTCAAACACAACTTTGTTGCAAAATGCTGAGGAAATATCAGGATATTTCCATTCCTATAAGAGATGGTCAGCAGGAATGAAAATTTAAGGAGTGACTTTCCCTCCAACCTCGCTTTGCTTTTAAACAGAATCAAGCTTCTTTTGTCATACTTATAATAGTTTCTTGTATACGCAAAAAGAATGTCAATGACTATGGGGGCAGTCGGGTTGCCTAGTGGTTAAAGCGTTCACTCATCACGCCGAAGCACCGGGTTCGATTCCCGACATGGATACAATGTGTGAAGCCCATTTCTGGTGTCCCCCGCCGTGATATTGCTGGAATATTGCTAATAGAGGAGTAAAACCAAACTCACTCACTGTAAAGCAGTGTCGTCAGTATCATCATTTTGATTAGGTAATTTTCATTAATTGTTAAGTATGATCACAGAGATGCTCTTGGAATGTTTTTTTTCATAGTTTATGCATATTTTCTTTCTTTGAAGCATGTTTTTGTGCCAACTGCCAAAATATATCTGCTGATGTATCTGCCAATATAACAGAATCACAATTTTTAGGAAAGTCTATTTCTTTGGAGAACTTTTCAAGAGTATGATCTGAATATTTTGTTGTTGTTGGTTCAAAGAAATATGGGAAATAAGATGCACAGCTTTGGAGAAGGTATTCTGTACTCTCTTTTTTTTATGTGCATTGAAATCAAATTTTATCATTTAGTTTAGATGGCAGTTTTATTCTTGTTTCACTTTGTACAGACCAGTATTTATTCAATGTCTATCTGTGAATATTAATATTCAAGATTATTATGTTTGATAGGATTTGTTTTCTGGCTGTATGACATGCTGTAGCATCAGTTGTATGCCTGTCGTGATGTGTCTGAAAGGGGTGGTGCAGTAGCCCAAGGGTTAAGGTGTTCACCTGTCAACCAATGGCCCTGTGTTTGATTCCCATTTCAGCTGTGATACTGCTGGAATATTGGTACAAGTGGCATGAAACTACATCACTCACTCACTGATGCACCTGCCTCAAGCAGGTCCTGTATCAATTCATTGATATGTCCATATTCATCTATGTGTGAATACAGGATTGATGTCACATTCAACATTTTTGCACATTATTAATGAGAAGATGTTTATTTATGTAAAAGAAATAAAATCAAATACAGGAGAGTATATGAAGCATTTTGTACATTTTGATATTATATATGATATATCTGTCACAGAGATATTATTCAGCTCTGTTATATGAGTCAACATACGCTGTTATTGTGTACAAACACTTAGTGTAATCAGTGTACGCAACCCTCATGCATATAACAATGTCAGAAGAAAAATATTCTTACTTCCCTCGTGAAATGATGGGGTAGGGGGAGGACACCTCAAATCTTTTCATTGGCGGTCGGGTAGCCTAGTGGTTAAAGCGTTCGCTCGTCACGCCGAAGACCCGGGTTTGATTCCCGACATGGGTACAATGTGTGAAGCCCATTTCTGGTGTCCCCCGCTGTTATATTGCTGGAAAATTGCTAAAAGTGGAGTAAAACCATACTCACTCACTCACTCAAATCTTTTCAAATAGGTATCATGATAAAGAAAAAGAACTATTTAGAACCCAAGCTATTCTTTAACAACGCCATTTTATGACCTGTTGGTTACTCATCCAGGCCTACTGGAGCAATGCTTATGCTGTGAGAGACAGACCACGTCATTTTGTAGGGAAGCAGGCTTTTTGTAAGAGTATATGGTTTCTCTCAGTTCTTCAAAACATACAAACTTTGGAAGGTAAAACATGGTACGATCATCATTTTCAAATATCCTAGGGGCAAATGATGTTTTTTCAACCCAGCCGGCCCCTGCCCCCAACCCCAGTATCATAGGTTTGCCCCGTACCACCATGTATACACTTCCGGTCTGTATGGTAGCTTTGACTCAGGTTCTGTGAGTGTCTACTTCAGTAGATTCCAAATTGCATGCCCAAAGCTTGTCTAATAAGAAACAAAACATACATTCCACTCTAGATTAAATAATTATATCTCAGATGCAGTAAGAATTTCCCCCAGAAAGGCTCATTCCTCTGGACCGACAAGGGAAAGAAATTGACATCTTAGTGAAAACTTAAGGCTGAAATGAAAAGAAAATTTAGACCAATATTGACCATCTTTGAAGTTCTTTCACAACTGAAATTAAATTAACAGACATTTGTGTCAACGGATCTGTTAATCAGCTGAAAAACATTTCCAGTGTACTGTATCTATTTTGTCACATTTAGAATTAGATGGTAGAGAATCATTGTTGTTTCTTAGACTTGCATTGATTCTTATGGCCCGGCCATGCCTTTTGTTGACACTCTCTGCTGCAGTAGGACACTTGGAGGCATCTTGAGCATCTCTTGCACTCGGGTGATGTCATGCCACAGGTACTGCAAGATGGGGCAGTTGTGGCTGTTTCTCTGGATGAATTGGGTCCAGTACCTTTGCTCTTTGAGTTGTCCCCTTGAGCAAAGTTTTGTAGGATTTCTACTACTTTTGAATGGGCATATTTTGTGAATACATCTTTCAATGCCAGTATCTCAAATCCTTCTAGAGTATCTATTGAAGCGATTCCCTCTGAAAAGTTGATGTTGCAAATTCGTTATGTAACCCTGCTTCCATAACAGTATTTTTGTTGTTGATTCATAGTCTGATGTACTGTAGGATCGTGGGTATGATTGTGACATAGAAGTCTCCTGCATTTGAAACTTTGTGATAGCAATAATTGTAAACTTTTGTTCAGATTATCAGATTAAGTCTTAGCTCCTGCCACTAACATCACAAGACCAATCTACCCATGTCAGATTTTGTAAAGTGTTATATACCGACACATTTTCAACACGCATGTTTGTTTTTTATAAATATTTGGCAAAATGACAAACATCAATTTTAGTTGTTCTGTGTATTTAAACACAATGATGTCATTGTTCTGTTCGAATGTCGAAAAGGACTTGAGCACAAAAACATCTTGTCTAATGCTTGGAATCATGACTATGCATTTTCGTTGTGTGTCGGTATATATTTCTCATTTTGATTTCATTCGCACCAACGACTGAAGATTTCATACATGGAAAGTACAGGGACGTTCTGAACATTGAACATTGAACGTACATAACCCGAATCCCGAACTGTATTTATTAAATATTCCCACCTTGACGTTGAGCAAACCACTCCAGTCGGTAGAGGAACGGATCCATGTAGGGATATCGCCCTCTCAAGAACGTCCTCCACATCCATTTCTTGTCCGCGCCCTGGGCCATGCGATGATGGTTCGCCTCTAGAATCCCTAACAGCAACATGTACCCCTGTATTGAAAGATTAATTAAATCAACCATGCACATGATATACGGTAGGTTATTTACATTAGGTTATTAACACATGTGCATGTACATTCATCTAATCTTTTGCCCATCTTCTCAACGAGATGTGTATTTGAAAATTTAATTTTCACCAAGATAGTGAACAAAAACCTCTGTAAATAAAACTCAAAACTCCTTTTAACATGAGAAATATCTGCTAAAAGCCTAGTCCATTGTGCGTTTCCGACTATCATAAGGATGCGCCACTATCAAACACCAGGTAAAGCGGTTGAACGTATCCTGCCCAACACTGACACCCATTTGGAGCGCACTTACAAAGGCAAGTCATGAACAAACATGGGATATTTACCAGTGAAATATACTCAACCACAAAATAAATGCAAATCATTTTGTTTTGTTTGTGAAATGCACAAAATAGTAATTTGTGAAAAGAAATGTTTACAAATGTAAAGAGACGCATTGAAGAGACACTGTTTAGTATTAACATTATTCATTTTGAGCACGTGGCAGGAACGCAGTCGTTTCGTCTCGTTTTACTTTTTTTGCACGTGCAGGCAAATCACATGCAAAAATGCGTGCATTTCCCCCTTGTCCATCCTTTATTAGCCACCATATAAACACACCAAGCCATTCCCCCTTGTCCAGCCTTTATTAGCCACCATATAAACACACCAAGCATTTCCCCCTTGTCCATCCTTTATTAGCCACCATATAAAAACACCAAGCATTTCCCCTTGACCATCCTTTATTAGCCACCATATAAAAACACCAAGCATTTCCCCCTTGTCCATCCTTTATTAGCCACCATATAAACACACGAAGCATTTCCCCCTTGTCCATCCTTTATTAGCCACCATATAAACACACCAAGCATTTCCCCCTTGTCCATCCTTTATTAGCCACCATATAAAAACACCAAGCATTTCCCCCTTGTCAATCTTTATTAGCCACCATCTAAACACACCAAGCATTTCCCCCTTGTCAATCTTTATTAGCCACCATCTAAACACACCAAGCATTTCCCCCTTGTTCATCCTTTATTAGCCACCATATAAACACACCAAGCATTTTCCCCTTGTCCATCCTTTATTAGCCACCATATAAACACACAGCATTTCCCCCTTGTCCATCCCTTATTAGCCACCATATAAACACACCAAGCATTTTCCCCTTGTCCATCCTTTATTAGCCACCATATAAAAACACCAAGCATTGCCCCCTTGTCCATTTACCACACCAAGCATTTCCTCCTTGTCCATCCTTTATTAGCCACCATATAAAAACACCAAGCATTTCCCCCTTGTCCATCCTTTATAAGCCACCATATAAACACACCAAGCATTTTCCCCTTGTCCATCCTTTATTAGCCACCATATAAACACACCAAGCATTTCCCCCTTGTCAATCTTTATTAGCCATCATCTAAACACACCAAGCATTTCCCCCTTGTCCATCCTTTATTAGCCACCATATAAACACACAGCATTTCCCCCTTGTCAATCCTTTATTAGCCACCATATAAAAACACCAAGAATTTCCCCCTTGTCCATCCTTTATTAGCCACCATATAAACACACAGCGTTTCCCCCTTGTCCATCCTTTATTAGCCACCATATAAACACACAGCATTTTCCCCTTGTCCATCCTTTATTAGCCACCATATAAACACACCAAGCATTTCCCCCTTGTCCATCCTTTATTAGCCACCATATAAACACACCAAGCATTTTCCCCTTGTCCATCCTTTATTAGCCACCATCTAAACACACCAAGCATTTCCCCCTTGTCCATCCTTTATAAGCCACCATATAAACACACCAAGCATTTCCCCCTTGTCCATCCTTTATTAGCCACCATATAAAAACACCAAGCATTTTCCCCTTGTTCATCCTTTATTAGCCACCATATAAAAACACCAAGCATTTCCCCCTTGTCCATCCTTTATTAGCCACCATATAAACACACCAAGCATTTCCACCTTGTCCATCCTTTATTAGCCACCATATAAAAACACCAAGCAGTTCCCCTTGTCCATCCTTTATAAGCCACGATATAAACACACCAAGCATTTCCCCCTTGTCCATCCTTTATAAGCCACCATATTAACCCACCAAACATTTCCCCTTATCCATCCTTTATTAGCCACCATATAAAAACACCAAGCATTTCCCCCTTGTCCATCCTTTATTAGCCACCATATAAAAACACCAAGCATTTCCCCCTTGTCCATCCTTTATAAGCCAATATATAAAAACACCAAGCATTTTCCCCTTGTCCATCCTTTATTAACCGCCATATAAAAACACCAAGTATTTCCCCCTTGTCCATCCTTTATAAGCCACCATATAAACACACCAAGCATTTCCCCCTTGTCCATCCTTTATAAGCCACCATATAAACACACCAAGCATTTCCCCCTTGTCCATCCTTTATTAGCCACCATATAAACACACAGCATTTCCCCCTTGTTCATCCTTTATTAGCCACCATATAAAAACACCAAGCATTTCCCCTCGTCCATCCTTTATTAGCCACCATATAAACACACAGCATTTCCCCCTTGTTCATCCTTTATTAGCCACCATATAAAAACACCAAGTATTTTCCCCTTGTCCATCCTTTATTAGCCACCATATAAAAACACCAAGCATTTCCCCCTTGTCCATCCTTTATTAGCCACCATATAAAAACACACAGGATTTCCCCCTTGTCCATCCTTTATTAGCCACCATATAAAAACACCAAGCATTTTCCCCTTGTCCATCCTTTATTTGCCACCATATAAACACGCCAAGCATTTCCCCCTTGTCCATCCTTTATAAGCCACCATATAAACACACCAAGCATTTCCCCCTTGTCAATCTTTATTAGCCACCATAAAAACACACCAAGCATTTCCCCCTTGTCCATCCTTTATTAGCCACCATATAAACACACCAAGCATTTCCCCCTTGTGCATCCTTTATTAGCCACCATATAAACACACCAAGCATTTCCCCCTTGTCAATCTGTATTAGCCACCATCTAAACACACCAAGCATTTCCCCCTTGTTCATCCTTTATTAGCCACCATATAAAAACACCAAGCATTTCCCCCTTGTCCATCCTTTATAAGCCACCATATAAACACACCAAGGATTTCCCCCTTGTCCATCCTTTAATAGCCACCATATAAACACACCAAGCATTTTCCCCTTGTCCATCCTTTATTAGCCATGATATAAACACACAGCATTTCCCCCTTGTCCACCCTTTATTAGCCACGATATAAACACACCAAGCATTTCCCCCTTGTCCATCCTTTATTAGCCACGATATAAACACACAGCATTTTCCCCTTGTCCATCCTTTATAAGCCACCATATAAACACACCAAGCATTTTCCCCTTGTCCATCCTTTATTAGCCACCATATAAACACACCAAGCATTTCCCCCTTGTCAATCTTTATTAGCCACCATCTAAACACACCAAGCATTTCCCCCTTGTTCATCCTTTATTAGCCACCATATAAACACACCAAGCATTTTCCCCTTGTCCATCCTTTATTAGCCACCATCTAAACACACCAAGCATTTCCCCCTTGTCACTCCTTTAATAGCCACCATATAAACACACCAAGCATTTTCCCCTTGTCCATCCTTTATTAGCCACCATATAAACACAAAGCATTTCCCCCTTGTCCATCCTTTATTAGCCACCATATAAAAACACCAAGCATTTCCCCCTTGTCCATTTACCACACCAAGCATTTCCCCCTTGTCCATCCTTTATAAGCCACCATATAAACACACCAAGCATTTCCCCCTTGTCCATCCTTTATTAGCCACCATATAAAAACACCAAGCATTTCCCCCTTGTCCATCCTTTATTAGCCACCATATAAAAACACTAATGCATTTTCCCCTTGTCCATCCTTTATTAGCCACCATATAAACACACCAAGCATTTCCCCCTTGTCCATCCTTTATTAGCCACCATATAAAAACACCAAGCATTTCCCCCTTGTCCATCCTTTATTAGCCACCATATAAACACACCAAGAATTTTCCCCTTGTCCATCCTTTATTACCCACCATATAAACACGCCAAGCATTTCCCCCTTGTCCATCTTTTATAAGCCACCATATAAACACACCAAGCATTTCCCCCTTGTCAATCTTTATTAGCCACCATATAAACACACCAAGCATTTCCACCTTGTCCATCCTTTATTAGCCACCATATAAATACACCAAGCATTTCCACCTTGTCCATCCTTTATTAGCCACCATCTAAACACACCAAGCATTTCCCCCTTGTCAGTCTTTATTAGCCACCATCTAAACACACCAAGCATTTCCCCCTTGTTCATCCTTTATTAGCCACCATATAAAAACACCAAGCATTTCCCCCTTGTCCATCCTTTATTAGCCACCATATAAAAACACCAAGCATTTCCCCCTTGTCCATCCTTTATTAGCCACCATATAAACACACCCAGCAATTCCCCCTTACCCATCCTTTATTAGCCACCATATAAACACACCAAGCATTTCCCCCTTGTCCATCCTTTATTAGGCACCATATAAACACACCAAGCATTTCCCCCTTGTCCATCCTTTATTAGCCACCATATAAACACACCAAGCATTTCCCCCTTGTCCATCCTTTATTAGCCACCATATAAAAACACCAAGCATTTCACCCTTGTCCATCCTTTATTAGCCACCATATAAAAACACCAAGCATTTCCCCCTTGTCCATCCTTTATTACCCACCATATATATACACCAAGCGTTTTCCCCTTGTCCATCCTTTATTAGCCACCATATAAAAACACCAAGCATTTCCCCCTTGTCCATCCTTTATAAGCCACCATAGAAAAACACCAAGCATTTTCCCCTTGTCCATCCTTTATTAGCCACCATATAAAAACACCAAGCATTTTCTCCTTGTCCATCCTTTATTAGGCACCATATAAACACACCAAGTATTTCCCCCTTG